CAAATTTCAAATACTAGTCTGACTCTGTGTTTGGAGACTGATACTAAATCGGATCATTATAATCCGACACGACATTGCTTTGCTACTTTGTTGTTGTGGTTTCCGTTGTTATTCTTTCAAGTAATGCACCTATCGGTTTCAATACTTGAAGACTGAACAACGTCGAAGGTTGAGACAGTCTCGTTGTTGTTATTGGATACGATCGTTTTGTTGTTATGTTGTTCTTAGTCTTGCTCTTGTTGTTCTTTGACACGTTTTGAAGAAATCGCTTTTCTCTTTGATTATTGGGCCAATTGCTTTGAAATTTCCAGTGGTTAAAGATCGAATTTTTCTCCAGAAGACTAGTTGTTTTTCGCTATGACGTCATCAAAATTATGTGGCTCTAGGTGTCCATATATTTGAGCATATCTCTCATTGAGCATATCTCTCTTGTTATTATTATACACGCAATTTGTAATGAAAAATGTTACTTGAGAAACGTTAACACAAATGTTATAGTATTAGTCGTACAAAAAGAAAAATTTAATGAATATTAATAAGTAACAATTATATACTGTATCATCAAAAATGTATGTAATAAATACATTTTCTGTTGGGTCTGTAAAATATTGTCAATTTAGAGTTATGGCTTTTCAACTATCTTAAAATAAATAAGATCATTCATCTTAAACACCGCCATGTTACAAAATGATTACAATAGATACGACTAACCCAGAGTAGGGAAATTCAGTAAAGTTGCAAAAACGTTTAAAAAACATGAGACATGAAATTATGGATAATCTCACGCCGTAACATAGAATATAACCCAAAAACAGGGTATTTAGCAATATTTACTTTTTACCTCTAAATAGATACATGAATATAATATAACACATAACATAATATCATCAGAGATGCAGTATACAGTACCGTATTTAAAAAAATACATAAATTTCAGTCGGTCGATTTTCATTGTTGACCAAATTGTTGACCAACCCCGTGCAACTAACTTGTCCCATTATGGCGTCATATGGACGCCATTTTCGATCATTCGGCTCGATTAGTGTAACGCAAACAAGCCTAATTTTAGTAGTTTTAAAAGGCTATTGGGGCAGATTTAAATCAGTAGTTATATTCCGAGGGCGCAGAAATCCGATTGGATGTCTCAATCAGTATCGAACCCAATACGGGGCATTTACATTAAGAACCCACGCCGCTCGGTAACAAACATAATATAGACGCAACGCACGGTTAGTAAAGTAAAGTTTATTTCGGTTTTTCGTTACACTAAAACAAATATATAGGCAATGCAAGTCAACACACACACATATACGGTAGCCTACGGAAAATCGGGAAAGTAGGCAAAATCTTAAAACTATTCAAGACCTGCTGATGCTAGGGCTACCAACCGTCCCGGGAATGGCAGGGACAGTCCCGGATTTGACGTCTGGCGTCCCGGTAGTCCGGAATTTACTGACAACCAAAGCGTCCCGATGGCGTGACAAGACCTCCATGATGATTTTTCCGGTTCCATAACATTTGAACCCATGACAATTGCACCTGTATGCTATTGCACATATGGAATTTTTTTTGTTTTTCGGATAGTTGAACCCACACTAACCCTAACCCATGGGTTTTAGCACCCGCATATAGATTGAACCCGTGGATATACACATGGGTTCAAATGTACGGTCACCAATTTTTCCATTAGGATAGTAGACAAACACAGTTTCACACTACAACAGGCCTAAATGACTAAAACGAACTAAATTTTTCGACAGTGAGGGCGACGTCAAATGGGACTGTAGCTAAATATTGATGTCAATGTTACATTAGAAATTCGCCCTTTTTAGACACTCCAGCTGCATAACTGAATTGTAAACGTCCTTACCAATGGCAGTACAATGAGAGAGAGATTTTATTATTTTGTCAACCAAAAAATACAGTCATCAATAAAATAGCCATAGCCACAATTTTGAGAAAGACGCAAAAAACAATTTGGAATTTTTTCATTCTTGAATATCTATTCTAGTCTATCTATTCGAAGTGATCAGTATTAAGTTTAACCCTGAGAGATGACTAATGGCAAAACTTGAACTATTTCGATAATATTTTTACAATAAATTTGTGAACAAAATGAGGGGATGTGATGGAAAATTATACCTAACTGATACCTGAATTGAATCGGGTTCGGACGATAATAATCAGAAAAAAATAAATAAATTGGCTATATACACAAAGTGGATCAGGGACAAAAACATTAATGTGATAAGGATGTGTCTGAACGTAAATAACAAATAAAATAAAGTGCAACCCAGTGGACATGCACATTACACAGTAACACATTGGATGGGGCAAGAGGAATTCTATTCATAGGTTTGTCATGATCTGAAAATGTTTAAAAATTGCATGAACTTTATATATATGTTTGGGATTTTTGCAAACTTGCACTCCAAGAATGTTGATACTTATAATGTACTTATCAATAAGTTTTAGCAGGTGGGGTTTTAAAAATGCTTCTGACTCACACAAGAGGATCAATCAATAGGAAAATTCAATAATTCACATCTTGGGAATCGTGTCTACGAAACAAAGCGAGCAATGATCATCATAGGAATAGTGAACATTTTTATTTAAATCTTTGGTGTTACAGTATGATTCATGAAACCATTACAAACAAACTAATAGTCCAGAATTTGGAAATAATTTGATTTATTAACCAATAAAAAGAAATAACACTTCATATCAACTATCAAATAACAAAGACACGAGAAAAAGACCATTCAATTGATCAAGAATAGCATGTAAATACCTTAATATGAAAGACATAGAAAAGAAGTGCTATTCGATTGATCAACAATTAAAATTTTTACAATTAAATAACAAAGACATGGAAAAGGTACAATAATTGAAACTTCAGCAGTATGTGTACCAAGTGACGGTTAGCCCCATATTTCATTCCGACCTTCCTCATCTTAGTTCCATCACGAGCTCTGCCCATGTCAGCCAAGCGATGGCGACTACATATGAGTGGCTGATTAAAAACCCAAAAAAATAGCACCCCCGTGTTATAATGAAAGTGTTATGTTGTTTCATATCGCAAAAACGATTAGAGGGAAATTCCCCCCCCCCCCCCCTAAATTTTCCAAAAGCATTCTCACATTTTTGTGCTTTTTTATATGACCCAACATTATAAGTTTCTGATACAACTGGTTCGTCCTGGAGTCGGATGTTTCAATCAAACTCAAAACGTTTGAGAAATGATTTACGAGACATTCAAACTGGCAAAAGAGTTTACTTTGGCATTCACAACTCACTGTAGGCCTATTGTCATTTTTTGAAAGTTCATCTCAGTCAATATTTTAGTTAATACAGGTCTTGATGATTTGAATTTTTTGGTGGATTTTGCACATCGAATATTGTCATTCCCTTTTATTTTAATTTTTTCCATTTATCCGTACTCTTCGTTTCAAATTGGTATTCTTCAAAAATGAGTCTGAAAAAAGAAATGAGTTGTAGGTTACACAATGAACGTACTTTCGAAATAACAAGCGTTCAGCATCCCATTTTTAACACAAAATATAATTGACAGTGACTTAACGAAACACGCATTCAGTTCAGAAATTCATTATTTCCACTAAGCTCCGAATTGTCTACTCATATTGCTGCTAATTACTATAAATTTTTGTTACCGCAGTGCTTTAAACAATCGTGACAATGAATCTGATACATTCAATGCAATGTTCTGACTTGCATTACTTAGGAAGATTTGAAAACAGTTTCCCTAACCTGACATCTGAAGCCAGCATTTAGAAAATCTTACTAATTTAACTCAACTTTCCTGGGGTCAGAGCTAGCTTAAATGAGTCGAATCGGCAACGTGACATAAATAATTAAATATGACATCATCCTAAAACTGTGTACCACCTATCTTTCCTGGTGTTAGTTTGACATTAGGCCATTCGTTCGACTAACCTCACACAAGAAACTGCCTGGGCCAGATTTCCAGCCTTTACGTCGCCTACAGTTATTTTCCCATTTCCTCCTTCTCTGCATCTGATGATAGCTTCAATAGTTGCACTGTTTTGCTATTCCCGCTGCAATTAGAGCCGAACAGCCTTTAATTCTATAGCAGAAGGCACCAGCCTAGCCGCGGATCACGCAGAACCGCCGTAACCTCGCAGGCGATATTGATCGAAAATGGCGGCCAATTTCCATTGTTGCGCAACTTAGGTATATAAGGACTTTGTTGTTGACACATCACTAGCGCCCTCCGGCGTGTGCCGTTTTTATTGTGGACTAAATAAAACTGGGCCAACAGGAATTTGGGTCAGAATTTTACATACCGTACTTTGGAATTTATCGTTAGAGACATCTTTTAATTATTAGGTACCGGTACCGGTATGCATATACTGTTACATTTTTGAGGCAAATAAACATACATACATACAAATTTTTAAAGAGGGAAAACGGTCGCCTGTTTGCAGAGCAAATGGATGATTCACCGAACCCCGTCCCCGTTTTATTCTAGTTAACTGTTCCCGATAAGTTACAGTACGGGAAATACAGAGATAGGATAGTCCACTCGATGTGCTAGTGGAAGTGGATACTATACTTGAATACTGAAATATAAATATCGTTGCCTGCCAGTCATGCGCCAAAGGCAAATGTTTATTTAATACTGTAATACCATATTTATATAGGTATGCATATAAGATAGGATAGGATTTACATATTTATCCCGGGGGAGAGGAAAGCCGAAAAGACGGCTCATCCATATGGCGAACCACGGCCTCTCGTCCGGTTACCATTCCAAGTCGGATATGGGATTAGTTATATTGTTTGTTTTCGGAAGCATGGACTTGGTGGTGGAGGAAGCCGTAACCGACCAGCGGTTACGTGAACCACCCAACGACGGCGAGGAGTCCAGCAATCCTCTCGCACATAACCATCCCTGCATGCTGGCATGGGATTCGAACCTGCGAACCCATGCAGAGTAATTAGAGGTGCGGTGGCGAGCGTATTCCTAACGCTTAGCCCGTTGAGCCACACCGCCGCGCCATATATATCCTTTTCTTGGTATGGCAAAATCTCTCTGCCCCCTGAATACAGGGATTAATATGTAAATCCTATTCTATCCTAAGTACTTTTGGTACTGAACTATACCAGAACTATACCAGCTTTTCTTGTCTGTCTCTTGTCTGCAGATACTTAATCCCATCTGTCCATTGCTTATTAAAAGATAAGTAGCATGTCTTTGTTTTTATTTTTTTATTCATGTTCTGTTTTGTCTGTTTGTACACAAAGATTGAAATAATATTGTATTGTATTGTACGTTAACTAACAAAATCAGGAAATATTGACCCATAGTATACTATATGGGGTTCGCGAAACACTCAGTGCAGCAGTGAGTCACCCCATTAGCCACACCTTGTTACTGATTTACGGTAGCCAACTACTTTTTTATCTATCTACAGAGTTCTAATTTGAACTTTAATTTAAATACTTAGTTAAGCCTATAAAATTCTTCTGTCTCCCAAACAAAATGACTAGTGCTGTGCCCTTGCAAGAAATAAAAAACATTTTGTTGGAAATAATCCACGAACTAGGGAGAGAAGATAACGCGATTGTCTTGAATCAATTCACTGACAGACGTGATAATGACGCCGTTGCACTGGCGCAGAATGTATTCCCTTTCATTGCGAAGATTGAGCAAGATGTGATTGGTCGGCATGGATTTACACCTAATGAACGCGGACTATTGGAATTCGTACATTGTGTACGTTTCTACGAAGATCAAAATGAGGAGATAGCACGAATGCATAGCAGGATCAGATCTTATTATTTGCCACCTATGAAATTTTAATATCTGGCATCCCTCATCTGAGGCTTGCGTATCCTCGACTCATTCATAAGGCTTACATTGTATGGCTTACTTCCTGCCAAGAATAAGCTGATATACTCTCTCAGAATATGACTATGCAGTCTTGATTACAAGCCACGAAATAGGATAATGTCTTCAATATAAGCTAGATGGCGGACATGGGAGCCATATTAAAAATTTGTGTCTTCTTTGTTGGTAATTAATCTCCAACATAACACAAAATAGGACAAGCATTCTCAGGAATTCATTTTCCATATTATATATTCAAGTATTTTTATTGTCACCTAGAGTGATTTCTAAATGCATGCACAAAACATTTTTCAAACAGTTGAATTTCTTACTTATTGAAAACAACTTCTTATATACTTCGATACTACAGAACATAGAACATTTTGATTATCTCAAATTAAAGTTTTGGACACTCGCTGTAACAACGGAAACAATGTGTGTTGTGCCAAGGCATCATTATGCACCAGAATACACAGGTACTTGTTCTGACCCGACATTCCTTCTTCAGACGAATCGCTTTGTGATGGACAATTTGTCTTGATTTTGAGCCACGGAAATAAGATAATTTTTTCAATATAACCTAGATGGCGGACATGGGAGCCATATTAAAAATTCGTGGCTTATTTGTTGTTAATTTATCTCCAACATTACACACATTTTTCTAGTGCAAGAGGACAAGCATTTCCAAGAATTTATTTTTCATATTTTAATGCCTGAAGTATTTTTATTGTCACTGAGAATTATTTGTAAATGCACGAAATTTTTTTAAACAGTTGAATTTTTTTACTTAAAAAAAACTTCTCATGTACTCCATTGCTACAGAATGTCACTCTTGCTGTCATCACATATTGACTACCACACAGTGAGCTAAGATTCTGGCCAGACACGCATCAGTAATCTTATTGCATGTTGTCAAAGTAAACCTGACCCAGTTGTTTTTTTGCCAGAATTTGTTGTAAAACCATAGGATTACCATAGGCACAATTACACATTCTATTTTTTTATGATCCCTACTAAGTTGATAATTCGGAATATTTCGAAGTTTATTTTAAATTATTTGCTTGATTTTTTTTATTCTGGTGAAATTGAAGCTGGTAACACTTGGCAACAACTGAGTTAGAGTTTATGGTATTTATGATATCAGTATACACCGACAGACTCAAGGACTTGTCCCAACCTACATTCCTTCTTTTGACAGATCTCTTTGTGATGTTTCATATTAATGTCATTTGAATTATTGTTTTCATCAGCGTCTTTTTGTATTCTTCGTACCTTCTGAACAATGAACTACATGAGCAGCCGCTGGTACAGAAACAGTTACTATGTTCTAGAAGGACAAGAACTTCCTCTGGTTAAACATCTTTTACCCAGCGTTATTGGAAATTGCAGATTGTCATTATTGGACATGATCGTCTTGTTATTATATTGTTGATCATCATGTTAGTATTTCCTTTCTCTATTCTTTTTGTTGTGAAAAAATAGCTTTTATCATTCACCACCGGACCAAATGCTTTGAAATTTCCAGTGGTTATAGATTTAAAATTTTTGCTAGAAGGCTATTGCATGTTGGCGTTTCATATTTACATATATTTGTGGTTGTTAGCGATTTTTTTTATTATTTTATTTATCATGTTTCATGCCATTTTTTTGTATTTTTTTTATCTTTAGTAATTAAATTTTAATATGAGGCTCTTCGCCTTCAAACCGTAAATTTTTATCACCTTGAATGTTAGTTGTTATACAGAATTATACAGCATTCCCATGTGGATAACACCTATTAGAGCACAGTAAAGAGCAAAAGGACTCCTGGGATTTACGTCCGCTCGATATTAGCGGTGGAATTACGTTTGATCTGCGCAGAATGGGATGTACGAAGTGTCAGACTATGGAATTTATAAATATGCAAAATATATTAAAATACTTGCTTTTCATTTTACTTTTTTCTAAAAATGCACTTCTGCAAGGAATGGAACCTCCATCTGATGCAAGTGAGTGAAATTTTGATTTCACATTCCATAACATTTTAAAGTTTCAATGGGGCGTGACCAAGCGGCATCAGCACTATGTCATTGTATTGATACTTTTCTGGCCAGCTTCGGTTCATTTGTTGCCAAGTATGAATAGTCTTTGGAGGGCACTGATGTAAAATTTGGATTTTCTTTGTTATGTGTAATTTCAAAATTTAATAGCCAAAGGTGTTTAGGTACAATATAGCATGGGCAAATAGTTTTTTTTCTTGAAAGCATTTTAAAATTGCCAAAATATATAATATCAAATGTAAAAAAATAGGAAACCAATATACCTAATTTCTGTTTATAGCCTATGTCACTTTAACGTATTTCCAAATTTTCATTAAATATAGCCTGCTTGGTATTGGCTTTTATGTGTTTTTCCCAACTTCACCAGTTTTGTAAATATATTCGATAGCCTACATCTTTTATCATTTTAGAACATATCATACGCAGTAAGGCGTCGTTGTGGCGTACCACTTTGCCCTGTGTATTGTACTGTAGTGTTATTTGTATATTTCATGACTGTTAATCTACATGTTGGGGTGCATGTCGCACATTCGTGTCTCAGGCTCAGGTTACCATGAACACAATTAAATTAAAATAAAAAGATATTTTATATTCTCGTCGTTGTCATGGATTGAATATTGTGCGACGGAAACGGCCATTATACAATAAAAAAAGTCGGCTCTTTTAACGAGCACGTAATGGCTTCAATTGCTCCTTCACACAGAGTACGGTTGCAATAAACGCATCTCGAGTCCGCAGAGGTTTTCGCCGGTGAGAAAATAGTCCGCGACCAAAAAAGGTTGGAAAACGCTGTCCTAGTATAACGCATCAGTCCTAAACCGCTGTTATAATTGTTAGGGTGCATGTCGCACATCTGTGTCTTAGGCCAGTAAGATCTTGAACATGTATCCCGTCTCTGTTATACTGTTTAATTATTATGCAGATAATGTTACATTTTTTGAGGCAAATAAACATACATACATACAAGTGATACACTAGCTTTTTCAGTTTTGACTATCTGCGATTTATATAGCCTACTTGGCATAGTGGTATGTAAGTCTTCAAAATTAGCTGTTGCTATCCTCTACATTTTAAGATTTTAAGCTTAACTTTTTCTAGTGTTTTTACTGGTGATAAATCTTTTTAGAAATTGACACCCAATGCACTGACCAGCAGTTCACATGTTTGAGAGGATCGAAAAAATGTATTCTATCAAAATGGAGATGTGATAGAGATCTGGACTGTGAGGACGGCTCAGATGAAAGAGGTTGTGGTTCAGGTAATACTCTTGAAGTATTTTGTATTTATTTTCTTCTACAACATAGTTATGTCTTTCTCTCTGCTCTGTACAAGAAGTCGCTGATAGGTTTGTTTTTACTCTATTTTGAAGAGACTGAAATCATTCCGATTTTGCATTGCCTCACCAATACTTCACCCTTTTTTTTATTTCTGGGAGAGTTAATTATATATGACCAACCGCGACCTTTCGTTCTGTTACCAGTCCATACCGGTCCATACCGGTTATTGAAATAGTTAACTAGTTATTTGTTTCAGATGCATTTATAGTGTAGAAAAGCGCAAACCAACTAGTGGTTATGTGGACCACCCTACGACACCAAGAAATTCAGCAATCTTCTCTCAAAAACATATTTATTCAGAGTTGGTATTTGTTCCTTTTTACCAAAAAATTGCAGTCAAAACTTTCAATCAGAACTGAAAAGGGCTTTCAGAGGTTTCCATTGTGAAAAATCGTTATCACTGAATAGGGAGTTGAGGCCACAATTATTGTTGTAACTCTTGGTCAGGAGGACTTTAACAAGAGTCAAATATTATTCGAATAAACAGAGTTCTGAAAATTATTTATTCCCATCACCAGATCTTGCTTCTTGCAAACCGCACGAGTTCTCCTGCAGAGATAGATCGGAAAAATTAACATGCATCGCTCAAGGATGGACCTGTGATGGGGAAATGGATTGCCCAGATGGCTCTGATGAAGCTAAAGATATGTGTAAGTTAAGATATTTTTCGGTGCTCCAGAAGTGTGTGTACCAATATGGAGGTAACTAATTTTGTTCGCCTACTTTACATCAAGTTGTGTAAAGGGACTGAAATCTATAGGCAGGGGGTATATTCACTTGGCTAACACAACACAGACAGTCCCTGAACTCATAATAGAACTAAAATAAGGAAAATCGGAGTACAAATATGGCCTAACCCTAACCTGGTACACACACTACGGGAGTACCTTTTTTTTTGGTGCCAAAACGACACAAACTCATTCCGCAAAATACACCTTTCGAGGCTTTTGATGAAGCGTTTTTCAGGTACAGTGAGGTTGTGGCGAAGCTCTTACATAAGGGGGTGTGGAACATTTTTTGTCGGTAAACAATATACCCATTTTCAGAAATCAAACTGGGCCACACAAAAAATTTAGTTTTTTGAGTTGGTTGCAATTTTCAACGTAAAGGTCAATTTAGTTGTTGTTTCATTGGGGTACTTTGGTTATGAACATTTGTTGAATATAGATTTATGTTAGGTTTGTATAGAATATGTTGTATGAATCCTGGGGGAGAGGAAAGTCAATAAGACGGCTTAATCATATGGTGAAACACGGCCTCTCAGTCAGTCACCAGTTAATATCAGGTAATGGATTAGTTAGCCAGTTATTTGTTTCAGATGCATGGACTTCTTCCTTATTAAACTCTGAAATTACAACTAAGTTTCATTTGATTAGATTGTGATGAAGGAAATTAATAATAATTAACTATTTCCTATTGGTTGGTGAATAGGAAGTATGTTTAATAGCAGGAAGTTATCGTTGATTGATCTTTTTTGATCTGGTATGATATGATTTATTTTTCATGTTGCTTTCTTCGCTGTCCTTGTGAGTTTGGAGAACTTAGTGTTTGTATAAACTCGTTGTTCATATTAATTTTATGGTTTCTTTGCACTTTTATGTTGAACCCACGTTTCCTAACCGATGAGGGACTCCCCCCCTCCCCCCACCCCTCAAGGAGAAAATTTTGTTGTTGTTGGGGGGAATTTCACTTTGTATTTGTTGTAGTATTACCAGTATTCTTTAGTTGTTTATTATACTATAATACTTATTTATGCACACATTATAAATGAATTAGACTGTACAAAAAAGGGAGAGCGACTTGTGTTTATATCAGTTGTCAGTAGTTTATTTTATCACAAACCGAAAGTACACTGTAGAGTGTAGACAAACATAATTAGGAAATATATAAAAATGAATTTCAGTGTTAAAAGAGATGCGATAAACCAGTAAGGTTATCAAGCAGGGTCACCTACGAGGGAGTGAACCAATTAATTAATAACTTGCTAAATATACGACATAATTAATCCAAAATCAATAGGCTTTTGGTACAAACGTATGGTGAATGCACATGCAAAATCTGGAGCAGATTGAACCTCGCTTTCGTGAGATATCGCGTGCATACAGACAGACAAATACCTATCAACATACTTACCAATTAAAATCGTTAAGTAATTATGTCTAAATACAGAACCTGTTTAAAATGAAGAATATAAAATTTTTTGATACTTTTGATAGTTTCGGATATAATTATGACCAATGAATGTATTTGGTTGCACAGAATCATAAATATTAATGTTTTGCAGATAAAGCAGTAGACATAAATAATTTGAATTATTATTAAATGCAACTATCTTAAGCGATTCATGAGTCCTGCTGCACACAAACACAATGTATTTCTGTAACATTTCGTCTAACCAAAATCAGACTTCCTCAGATAAGCATGCTATCCGCAACACTGATTTTACTTTTCGTTTGAGAAGAAAACTCCCTGTTTTTCTTAGTTTCATTGCTTGATAAGGTTAACACTTCACAGGTTGTTTTCACTTTGTCGAGCATGAATTGTTTGAACATAATGGGATTTGGAATCTACCAATCAAAATAACACTATGAATACCACTGGAATAATAAACAGGGGCCACAAGCCCTGAAAGGTTGCTGCTTAGAATGTATTTGAAATAGTGGATTATGAAAATGAAGGTTATTTAATTTAAACATAAAACTTCAATGTGTGTACACATACAAGTGTTTGCCGTGTCAATATTCATTGTATGTTGATATGTTCATGAAGATTTGATTTGATAAAGCAGAAATGCGCTAGAGTTATCAGAGGTTATTCTGATTCTGTTGAACTCTTACCCGTTTACAGTAAATGTACATACAAGACAATAATGAACTATGTCCAAAGTTTTTTTTATCCATGAACTTGTATTTGTGTTTGACTGTACCCAAAAGTTCCAGTAATCTAGAAGTTAATATGTTCCCTCTAGGACAGTGTTTTTCAACCGGGGTGCCGCGGCACACCGGTGTCCCGTTAAATATTGTCAGGGGTGCCGTGGGAAATTCTCCAAGTTGTGTGTATATGCGATGTAGCGTCCGGCAGAGTAATCATGTAGTACTGTTCTATATCAGACCGTGGCAGCATCTGGTGGCGATTTTTTGTTGTCTTTGTTTTTATTTGATTACTATTCAGGATGTCCTATTCAACATCTTTCTTCAATGTTGAAAATATTATATTAACAATATAACACTTATATTGTGAATATTAGGTCTTTTCCCCATATTTTCAGCTGGTGGTGTGCCGCGGGATTTTCTCACTTAAAAAAGTGTGCCTTGGCTCGAAAAAGGTTGAAAAACACTGCTCTAGGATATGTTTCTAATGGTTTGGGTTTTTGTAGTGTATCCTGCCTTCAGATCTTTATAAACAAGCACCAAGTTTCCATTCCACAACACTATTTTATTGTAAGAGCCAAGCACTTCATAATTAGGACATGTAAGACACCATAGCAGTAACAGACAGTTTTGTTTTTCTGGATCACCGTGTATCATAGAATATACCATTAGTATCCTGTCTTATATATTCAATCCATTTTGTCATTCTGCCTCAAATAACATTATTTATTATTATCACCTACTTAGATTCAATTCTAAAACCATCAGATATTTGAAAACGACCTGTGGTTAGGCACAAAATCACAGTTGAAATTTAGAGATATATTTTTGTAACACACGGACAGGGACATCCTAAATAAATAATCAAATGCTAAACTAACTGTTTCATTTATTCTGCAATTCAATTAAATAAATTCAAACCATTTTTCCATTCTGCCTCAAATAACATTATTTAATATCATCACCTACTTAGAAGCACTTATGACCAGAGAGTGGCGACATTTAGTGTAATATAACACACTTGACCTTTATTAATCGTGCTCCGAGTATCAACGTAGATATTGGTATTGGAGTGCCAAAGATTAATTCAGATTGGAATGGATTTTCTCATAGAATGCTTATTCCTGCTGTTTTCTCTAAACAATGCCCTATACAAACAGCCACTGATATCTAACAGTGCGTAAAAAACTATCTTTTTTGTATGGTCGAAATTTTTCAGCTTAGCATTGCCTGCTCAATTTATTATAGTACACCCTAAGTGACACTTTGGACATGGGATTTGAATGGAGATTTGTATTCTATGATACTAGCACAGCTAAGTCTGACTCTTTATCCCAGTGGTTTCCATATTGCGACCTGTGGGCCTATTACGGCTCATTTAATATGGCTCGCCAAAATTGTTCAACACTTCATGTTTTTACATTTTTGCGTTCTAGAGACCGCCATTTGTTACGTCATTACCAAAGTTTAAGCACATGTATATTCGTATCAATCCGAATGTACTGGTAGCTCAATATATAGTTGTTGGTATCGGCCCTTGCGGGTGCTCCCCACTCTCGACTGGCGAATATTCTTTCGCTTCTAATTTTAGCCCCCGACTTTTGTAAACATGGCTTTAGCCAGTAAGTAGTTGCACGTACAATTTTTCTATCGCTAATAATTGATAGAACTATTTTGTTTCTGTAAGCAGTGCAACCTCTGGAACTCTGGCATATATTTATACAAATGTGGTACTTTGGTCATGTCAAGGCAAAACCCATTACACAACACATGTATACACATTTAGGCTTGGGCATAAAAAAACAAGTCTTTATAATATAACATTCTACCTGATGGGCAGTAGTCTTGTATAACTGCTTTGAATTCGAAATTGCTGTCTACATTGTGCCATAAAAGCCCAGTGTAAACAGTGTAACTCTATCAAACAGGGAGTGATGCCCATATTATTTCATCTCAAATTGAAATTAATGCGACTCAATTCAGAAATTTAAACAGTGTAACTTTCCTGTGAAATAGCTTTATTTGTAAAGAAATATCAGTTAATTTATTTTTCTGGCGTGTACTGTATGAATCGTTTGTCTGCTCTTGAAGTGATATTTCGAATCACGGTTTGTGTTTTTTTTTTATAAAACGTTTGCTTATTAATTAAAGCGATGGCAGACTCATCTTTGTGTGAAATTACGGGACATCACCAAAGTGGTAAGAGCTACTGAGAATACAAAGAATTAAACGTTAGTAAACACCGATCGACATTATTAAAGGAATTTAATTAAATCATAGCACAGAGAGTCAAAAAACAAAACCCATAAATTTCTTAATTACTTAGAAAAAATGAAAAAAGTTGTGTTCGATTGTACCTTAAAGTTTCAGTGATAGAGGAGACTTTGAACTAAAGATATGTTATCTCTTGAATATGTTCCAAACGACCGGGGTTCTGTTTTATTCTTAGTTCACAATGTGATTTAGTCATGAATAAGATATTTGAACAAGGAACGGTTTGGTCATGGATATTTGAAATAAGAACAGAACACAACTAAATACCATTAAAATTCCAAAGAATGAACTTGAATTGTGAATCCATCCAGACTCGGAAATGTTAACCGCACTGTATAATTTGTCATTACATGAACCCACAGGAATTTAGGCCAATTTCACTGTAAGCTGACATCAAGCATCGTTAGACTTGATGGGTGGTCTTGAATAATTGTCGAAATGAATTTGTAAGTCAATATACCCATCCTGTTCATTCATAAATTTATTTTCTAAAAACTATGTGTTTTCTAACAAGGCCGGGCAAATTTCGGTCCGCAGACCAGATCCGGCCTACCAAAGTGTTATATCCGGCCCACCTGTGTCGGCTAAAATTACGACTATAGTTTTTATAGATATGAATACCCGTTGAAAATATCGATGAAAATAACGTCATAATGACTCCGATTATTACATTGTGCTTATTATTATTATATAAACGTTAGCCAAGTTGTTGGACTACAGCTGTTATAAATAAACTGTGTTTTATTCATAGTTTTTATATCGAGTTTTGAGCCTTCAGTAACCAAGTCTATGGACCTTTCCCCGAGCATCGACTTCCTTGTTTACTTCGTAACATTGGCCAATCAGCAAGATGCAAAAAGTGACGTAACAATGCCCCCTTTTCGCATCCGCTCAGACACTTTTCTCACTCAGACAGACTTTCAAGCGTGGTTGTGAACTTTACCTCGTTTTCGCGTTTTTGAACTTTATTCGTTAGTTTTCAGTTGTGTTTCGGAAACTCAAAAATAAATCAGATAATTCAATGATCACTCTGTCTTCCTAGGAGTTTTAATTTAATTGCAGTAATAAAAAGTTAGTGTAGAAATAGCTGTGATAGGCTAGCCTGAAATTCTTTACCGGTACTTTTAAAAAACAGATTGTTGTATGCGATGAATCATAATGATGGTTTAAAACACATACCCCATTTTACAGGCGCCAACTCGCAAAAGCACTCTTAAAATAGCCCCGAAAATTTTGCAATGGTGAAGTATAGGAAGAATTTTCCGGGGGTCAAAGGTCGGGGAAAGGTCCATTACCTGTAACTGGTCCACTTAGAAAAATAACTGCCCACCGCTGGTTTATAAGATTGTTGTGTGAAAAAAAATTGATGTGTGTACAAAAACTTTTTAACTTTTGGTTTCTATTATTGTCACATGTAGATATTTTATTGAAAGAAACATTGCAGATAAATACAGTACTAAAATACTAGAGTAAATACAGTATTTCATTCGTTTTTTGAGCGTTATCAGTCGTTCAACTTGTGCTTTGTAGACTTTATGGGTCAAGTACTCAGTCTAAGTGGTAATTAAATAGCTAGCTATGTTGTCAAGATTTGTTTTGGTGTATCAGAAACCAATGTTTGCATTTGTAGGGATTTGGTTATTTGAACTGATTGGGATAGGGTTGGCAAAAATGAATTGCTCAACATGAAAATTTAACAGTGAAATAATTTCATTAAATTGGTTAGGCCATAATTTTATTCCGATTTTCTTTATTTTAGTTCTATTACGAGTTCGGGGACTAGCCAAGTGACTCCCGTAGTATTTGTACCTGAAATTATGGCCTAACCCTAACCTGGTACACATACTACGTTCCAGTGTCTGAAATCTTGGTTTCTCATACTTCAGGAGTACCCAAATAATCTTAATTTTCTAACTACTAAGCCATCTTACTTGTTGAATACAAAATTTTTATTTTATCTAATTTAGTAATGGCTTGAATTGTTCTAGGGCAGCGGATCCCAACCAGGGGTCCATGACCTACATAGGAGTGCACAGAGCACTTGATAGGGGCCACCATGCTAGGTGCAAAACTGACTTTACTATTCTCTATGAGCAAGTTAACTCTCCATCTTCCTAGTTTCATTGGTGATAAGGTTATTTCACAGAGTGTTTTCACTTTGTTGAGCATGAATTGTTTGAACAATATGAGATTAGGAATTCACCAATCATAATAACATTGGAATGATAAACGGGGCCACGAGGGCCAATAGCAGCCTGAACGGGGCCACAGACTATAAAAGGTTGGGGACCACTGTTCCAAGGGTTCTTGTTAGCTATCACAAAAACCAATCTATACAGGGGTGTGACCAGTGGGGTGGGGGGATGTTGGGACCCCCTTTTTGAAATGTTAAAATTTTTTTTTAGTATTATACATATCAAATTTTCAATTTTTCGTTGCTTGAAAACTTTTAGACCATCATGTCTCTTGAGACTCGCGCTTTTACCTGCTGGCTTTTACAGTCCAACTTGGCAATTAGAAATTTCCTCCTTTCTTTGGAGAAACACCGCTTCACCACGCGAGTATTAACATCCTCAGATAGCTCGGCGATGGTGCCAAGTTTGCCAAATTATTTTATTGCGTTAATTCAATTTCATCACTTTTAGTTGAAAAGAACTTCACTTTAAACAACTTGGGCTCAGATTTTGTTTAGTTATTTCAGCCTTCTGACAGACGTTCTCCTTCTTCAATTTTTTGATTTGTTTCACTAGGCAAAGCCAAATGCAAGGTTGATGAAGATAACTGCTACAGCGACGCCTCTGTTTGTGTCAAGTTCAGTCAAATGTGCAACGGAAGAGTTGAATGCCCTGATGGATCGGATGAAGGGAACCATTGCTCAGGTATTCTTCATAGCAGTGTTCTTCAAATTTAGCGTAAAATTTAATAATACAGAAAACATTGGAAAAAAAATTGACAATTTTTTTAATTAGACTGATGTGCCTAGCAATGTTCAGGTATTCTTTATAGCAGTTATTTTCAAACTTTTTCCATCACAATCCACTTGGCACGGCTAAATTTTTTCGTACCTTCCCAAAAATTAAAAGTAAAATAAATTAAAATTTATTAATACAGAAATATTGTAGAAAAATAATAAAAACAACAATCCTTCCAATGATATGCTTGTATGTTTTCGCACAATAGATAGAATCTTGGCTGGTATTGGTCTGTGCGAGCCCCACAAGGAGGGGGGAGGGGGGGAGCATAGACAATTTTTTGAGCGGGCGTGGAGCTAATTAAAGATTAAAACTATTTGTTGGATTTAATCTTGCCTGCCTTATTTTGAATATTTACATTTCTTTATTTTAAATTTTTTAATTATGTACACATATTTTCATCGTGTTTTTTAAATAAAACCTACTGTCGCCCTACTATCTGTTATTTGTAGCTTATTGTTAGCTAGGCGAGCTAGGCGATTAACACAATAAAATTAAAATGAAAAACATTTTGAATCCAAAAATACAAATAACTTTTTGTTTTATTTCCAGAGGTTCTCTTGCCTGGAGTGAAGCAGCCTGAGTTCTGCAAGAAATGCCAGTCATTTTGCACTGTTCGACCATACATTGATCAAATCGACGACAATGCAGAATATCAGTACACTTGCTATTGTGGAGAAGGACAGAAGCTGAATCCTTTGGATAATAGAACATGTGTTGGTGAGTGTACTATGTGTTCAAAAGTGTGGCGGACACCGTAATGTAGTATGTGTACCTGGTTAGGGTTAGGCCATTATTTTAGGTACAAATACAACGGGAGTCACTTGGCTAGTCCCAGAACTAAAATAAAGAAAATTGGAATAAAATTATGGCCTAACCCTAACCTGGTACACATACCATATTCCGGTGTCCACCATCTTAGTTTACATACTTCGGCAGTACCGGTGGTTCTAACGATACTGATGCGCTTGCATATTATCGCACATAAGATAAAATCTTGGCTTGATTTCGGTGATGGGGGGTCTCAGTACTGGTTTCAAATTTTTCAAATTTGATTGATATTTTGTTTTAACACAAGTTAGTGTCGAAAAATATTTTATTGCGTCCCACATTGAGATTTTTGCGACCCACTGGGGGTAGGTGAAAATTTCCCTTCTGGGTCGTTGCTGCAGATATTACAATAAGACTAACACTTGAAATAATTTGGGTAAAAACAGTCGGGGTGATTGGGTGAGTTAGGTAGAACATGGGTGCAGACATTAGTGTACCGTACATCCTATATCAGGGCTACTCAACTATTTTTGCTAAAGTTCCGAATACTAAGCTTGAAAAATCTTGGGTTCCTGTCTGGACAGAAAAGGTTTTACTTTTTTTAATAATAACGGTAAGAAGTGTCTCAAAATCCTTCAGTTCATTTTCACTATAAATGTTAAACTCCTTAAAAAGATCTTTCCAGTTCAGAGTCATGCGTGTATAAGCCAAATTTTTAGTGCGATCGAAGTTACTCACGTATAAGTCGACACTTGGTGTGATCAGAGTCATGCGTGTATAAGCTGAATTGTTAGTCCGATCAGAGCTATGCGCATATAAGCCGACCCCTTAGTTTGGTAAATTTTTTTGAGTTTTAAACTCAGTTATATGCGAGGATATACAGTAACAAAATTTCAAAAACTGAAACCTCAAAAATTCTGTTTTTTAAATTACCTTTAACTCCTATTTCAGACATTAATATGTGTGAAGAACACGACGTGTGCGAGCAAACTTGCACTGATGGTCCGTTGCTGACGTATAAGTGCTCGTGTGCTCCTGGATTTACTCTAGAAACCGGTGTTTCGCTTTCTGTTTCGGGAGTTTCAGTCTCAGTGCCGAGCCATTGCAAAGTGAACAAGGCAAGCTCAGCGTATATCCTGGTTGCAACAGCCACCTCTGTAGAAGTGAGTAATTATTTTGTCGCTCTGTAAGTATGTGCACCAAGATGGCGCACAACCTGAAGCCTTACCAGGTACACATACTATGTTCAGGTTGTGCGCCATCTTGACATACATACTTTATGAGCACCTTTATTTTTACGCCTTTGTATGCCTTAACTGTTGTGTCTGTGGTGCCAGAGTTTGAAGTTTTAAATTTCTCGCAGTTAGGAGTGGGTTTTTCAGACCTTTAATGGACAAAAATGGGGGCTCCCGAAGTATGCGAACCAAGATGGCGGACATCGGAATGTAATATGTGTACTAGGTTAGGGTTAGGCCATAATTTTAGGTATGAATACTACGGGAGGCTCTTGGCTAGTCTTCGAACTGATAATAGGACTAAAATAAGGAAAATTGGAAAAAAATTATCGCCTAACCCTAACCTGTTACCCATGTTACGTTCCGATGTCCGCCATCTTGGTTCGCATACTTCGGGAGCACCCAAAAATGTAAATGAAAACATAAGTTAACAGTACAGTACTGCTTCAGAGTGAAACAGGCTTACGAGTTTTCTCTGATTGGCCATCTTACCAACTTTCTTTTCCCAAGAAGAATAGAAAAAATCATATAATATGATTAAGTGTTTGTTAGACACTGCATCACAAAAACAAAAAGCTTTTTAGTGCTATTGTTTAATATTGTCCGGTAACAATAACTATCCTCATATCCCAAATAGACTAGTAAACACCCACATAGGTGTGGTTCGCCATATCGACACCTCAAAACCAAACAGTGCTAAGTCCACTTTTCCAAAAAATGACATTTTTCAATTTCCATTTAACCTGGACTTAGCTCTACATTTTGGTCTATTTGCCTTATCTCTAGGTGCTCTAGATCTCAAGACAGCTATGGACGTCACATAACCCTGCTTTTTTTAGGGCATTTGAGAACTAAACAGAGCTGTGTCTACTATAGTGGACTTAGCTCTGGATAACTGTATTGTAAGTTGGGGCTAAGTCCGTTTTTTGGACATAGCTCCTCTCAAAAAATGTATTACAAAGCGCTAAGTCCATACCAGCTTCTACAATAACATAATAAAGGGGCCCAAGTCCAATAAAATTGTTTCTGGTCCAGAAAATTGAGAGCCAAAAAGGGTTGAGTCCAACCCCCCCCCCCCCAAAAAAAATCGGGGCGGAGCACAAATTTTTTTATACCATCTAAATATGGCCTTCATTGTAACTTTGGTGGACCATAAAAACTACACATCCTCGATGTAAGGTATTAGAGAAATAAAAAAAAGAAACAAAAAAAAATGTTTTTTGCGTTTTTCTCAAAACTAGAAAAATGGACTAAGCCCAATTTGGATTTCATGCGTCGATGGTTAAGCCATCCTACTCAGCTTTCCTCACTCCGGGATAAATATGTAATTCAAAATCAAAATCTCTGAACAATAAGAAGGCAGTGGAGATACAGGGTGTCCATAAAGTCCCTTTTACAATTTTAAATTTTGTTATGAAGTCAGTTCTCAACATATATTAATCAGGTTTGATGTTTTTTAATCAGTAATTGTTCTAGTATTTAGTATGATTCTCAACTAGTTATGTAGTCTGAATTAACACAAGCTGAAATGCTGAAGGAATAAAAACCTAACAAAAATAATGACACGTTATTGCAGCCCTGCATATATCGACGCATGAAATCCAAATTGGGCTAAGTTCATTTTTCTAGTTTTGAGAAAAACGCAAAAAACGTTTTTTTTTTTGTTTCTTTTTTTTATTTCTCTAATACCTTACATCGAGGATGTGTAGTTTTTATGGTCCACCAAAGTTACAATGAAGGCCATATTTAGATGGTATAAAAAAATTTGTGCTCCGCCCCAATTTTTGTTGGGGTTTTTTTTTTTGGACTTAACCCTTTTTGGCTCTCAATTTTCTGGACCAGAAACAATTTTATTGGACTTAGGGCCCCTTTATTATGTTATTATAGAGGCTGGTATGGACTTAGCGCCTCGTATTATATTTTTTGAGAGGAGCTATGTCCAAAAAAACGGACTTAGCCCCAACTTACAATGCAGTTATCCAGAGCTAAGTCCACTATAGTAGACACAGCTCTGTTTAGTTCTCAAATGCCCTATAAAAAGCAGGGTTATGTCCATAGCTGTCTTGAGATCTAGAGCACCTAGAGATAAGGCAAATAGACCAAAATGTAGAGCTAAGTCCAGGAAAATCAGCAATTGAAAAATGTCAATTTTTGGAAAAGTGGACTTAGCACTGTTTGGTTTTGAGGTGTCGATATATATAAATAGCTTCTCGCCAGATCTTTATTAAGAGCAAACGCAATTACCTTGATTGGTGTCTTCAGGATTAAATTACCGCGATATCAGTTTGCATTTGGCAGCTGAATGGCGGATTATTGAACATTCGATCGATACTATACCATCTTAGATGCATTAGCTCTGACACTTATTGAATGTTTTAGTCAATATCTATAAATATTAAATTAGGCGTTGTCAAAATGGGTTAATTTTAAACCTGAAACATGGTAAACATGTTTCTGTGGGTGGATTTTGGCTTTGGGATCTGTTTTTACAGATTTTATAGCTTGAAAGAACTTATTGTCGATTTTTCATAGACTTTTTTTCATCATGACCAATTTTTTTGTGATCCTCAGGAACTAAAATAAAAAAAAAAGTAATATTTAATAACGCAGAAAATATTTGAAAAAAATAAAAAAATTGACAATAACTCTTATTATACATACTGTTGTGCTTGAATATTCATCAATGTTTATATAAACTAATAGCATGTCAATACTTTAATAATGTTCTTGAAACAAACCGCGACTCCGTTTGAGCCCTTTCGCGACCTACTGATGTTCATCGATGTTTATATAAACTGTTAGCATGTCAATACTTTAATAATGTTCTTGAAACAAACCGCGACTCCGTTTGAGCCCTTTCGCGACCCACTGATGTGTCGGGATGCCCAATTTAAAGAGCCCTGCTCTAAACCAGCGTTGTTCAAGCGTATTATTTGGAATCTATCGAATTTATTCTAAATTGGGTTATATTCAACATAAAAAGATTCACATATTTATAATATTCAAAAAAGATTATTTTGAGTTGTTTCTACAGTTATTAAAAGTCAGGTAATCCTAAAATTGTGTCATTTATACATCATTGCTGTTATGCAAAAAGTCAAATAGTGTACATTTTTTGATACTTCCGAAGTATGTGACCCAAGATGACAGACACCGGAACGTAGTATGGTTAGGGTTAGACCATAATTTCAGGTACAAATACTACAGGAGTCACTTGGCTAGTTCCCAAACACATAATAGAACTAAAATAAGGAAATTTTGGAATAAATTATGGCTTAACCCTAAACTGGTACACATACTACTTACAGTGTCAGCCATCTTGGGTCACATACATCGGGAGTACCCATTTTAACCCTTTTTTTTGGGTTCACGAGAAGATTTTCAGGGGTACTTGGATGGCAGTCGAGTTTTTTTTTTTTTTTCAATATCCTTTAACAAAGGAAAACTAAGTAACTACCAGATGAAAATGGATGCAAATTGAAACTCAGCGTAAATTTTCACTGATCTAGCGTTGTTGTGATTGTGACGCAACAATGTGAAATGCACGGATTTTCAGCCAAGCTGTGAAATCTCGAAAGACAATGATTCTGATTCTCTAATTCGTTTTAACTTGTAATTTTTTTTATCATCTATTATGCTGGTGATTGAGCCAAAATGTGGTTTACTTTCTTTTCTACTTTGCGATCTCAAACAGTAAAATTTTTTTTCAATGACAGGGAATTTCTCTCACTGGTCAAGTAATACCTTCTACAGCAATTCGAGGAACACATACTTCGCTTGCTATGGTGACTGATGTTGCAGGGAAGAGAGCCTGCTGGATTGATCGATACAGGGATGTATCGGAAAGCTTCTTTGTGTGTGCTCCGTTGAATAAACTAAGAAGCACAAAGAAGATACCCTTATTATACTCTGTGCAAAGTGAGAGTTTGTTATTGTATTCCACATTTTTTTTTAAATTTTTTCCTCACATAGTGCTTGGGTAACTTAATAGTATTAACAGTATTTTTCATAAAAAATCTTGGAATAGTAGAAGTGGAAAATTTTTTTGGTATTGTCTTCTAGTAATCTCATTGTAGATATTTTTAGGTTTTTTTTTTCACATGAATGTTTTCAGTTTAATGATATTTTTTACATCAGTGTTCCCAACTGATTTTTGAAATCAGGGTTTCCGAGGATTTTCAAACTAGTGTTCCCATCTGATTTTATTAAACTTGTGTTCAAAGATTGCCCAACAAGTTTTGCCCAAAGATTTCCTAAACCAGTGTTCCCCTTACATTGGGGTTCCCAAAGATTTTATGAATCAGTGTTCCCCGAAACTTTTTGAGTTAGTGTTCCTAAAGATTTTTCAAATCAGTGTTCCCGAAGATTTTTCGACTCAGTGTTCCCAAATATTTTCGTGCCAGTGTTCCCAAAGATTGTTTAACCTGCAATCAATTGATGAACTTCACTCATTCACCTATTATTTTATTTGCAGATGTGGAACAGATTGCCTTCGACTGGGTTACAGGGAACTTTTATTTTCTTGATGACATTGACAACCGCTTATTTGTTTGTGATCCAACGGGGAAGACATGCGTAACGATTCTTAGCTCGAACCTGAATAACCCAACTGGTATCGCTCTTGATCCAAAGGAAGGGTGAGTATCAGCAAATTAATCTATCATGTTAAATTAGGATTGTCGTTCATTTGGGAAGATATCTCTCAACAGACTGTTTTCCTCCACATTTCACGTATAAATGGTGTTCCTCGAAGATTTTTCAAACCAGTGTTCCCCGAAGATTCGTCAAACAAGTTTTGCTGAAGATTTTTCTGAAGAAGTGTACATGTTAACAGACTTAGTTTTCCTCCACATTCCATGTATAAATGGTGTTGATCCTGCCTCTAGCACAAAGACTCCTGCACATTTTATGTATAAGAGTGTTTTCACTCCCTTTTTCTTTCCTGTTCATATTATTAAAGGTCGTTTATCTCCTTTTCATCAGTCTCTTTTAACTTCCACGAAATTGAAACAAATTAATAGCTAAGTACCCAGACGTAGTTTGCCACGTAGTATTGTCTTTCTTGTACCCTGGGATAAATAGCGAAATCTTTCTCACAATTTATTGCTTGTTTTCCTCTCGTTTTACTTGTAAACTCTTTCTCTTTTTGGATGCAAAGAAATTATTGTTTCTATTTTTTTTAGGAAAATCTTTTTTACTGATCATGGAACCGCTCCGAAATTAGAGAGAATAAACATGAATGGAGCAGAACGGAAGCAACTCGTCATAATGAAAATTGTTCTACCACTCGGTGTCACCCTTGATCTATTTGGGAAACGAATATACTACGTTGATGCTCATATTAGTAAGATGTTAATGTTTATTCAATATAATATATTTGCTGAGATTGAGGTCCTGGGCTTTAAAAAGCTAAGTGAAAAAGATACAGTGTGGGTAGTCTAATCTCGGTACTCGAACAATTCGGTAGTCAGCCAAAAAATTCCAATCAAAAATGCTGCGTTCTCAAAAATTTAGTTTTTGACACCCAAATTTATTATGTTTATTCACTTACATCAGAAGTCGGCAACCTACAGCCCGCGGGCAGGCGGCCCGCGGAGCAATACAATCCGGCCCGCGCAGCTCCACTGAATTACAGTAACAAATTATAGCTGTTTTGTCAATTATATTCTTCACGCAAAAGAATTTACGTGTAGACTAAATTATATTATAACGTAACAATTACTCGTTTAATGAGCCTATAATTTAATTATAATTCAGACAAATGACAACAAAACGCAGAAAAGTTTATGCTAAGTGCAAATGGTTTAAGGGCGCAAAAAATATTCAAATGTTCAGTCTTCGCACGCTGCTTAAAATTTAACATCTGATCTGTGTGATAAAATGTGATTCATCGGTCATCCATTCGATTTTTAACATTCCAAAAATATGTGCGGCTCGTCAATGACTTGCAACCTTTATTTTGGCCCGCGTGCGACGAAAGGTTGCTGACCCCTGACTTATATGAACATGGCTAAGGTACTGAATTGCCTTGCCCACCAGCAGTTTATAAACTTTGATTTGTTTATTAATTTTTTCTAGATTATGTGGAATCGATTGACTATGATGGAAAGAATAGGAAACTGATTGTTGAATCTGAAAGTATGCAGAACTTACATAGGATCACATACTTCGATGGTGGGTGTCAATTTTATTATGTCCTTAAAATTTCCACCGATTCTGGGGGTCAAACCTCTTTAACTCTTTACATGCACAAGTTACATGCACTCAGTCTATACGAAATTTCCGATATTTTTTTACAACATTGTTTTGCGGAACTAAATATATCTCTATCTTAAAAATAAAGGACACTCATCTCTGATCAACTTTAGAGGCTATGTATACTGAGACACTGTAATTTTACTCAGAGATGAGTGTCCTTAATTTTTATGTGAGCGCTTGTGACTTTGCTTTAGGCAGATTTCATTAAAAAAAAGATCAACACTTAGTAAGGGTGAGTAAAGGACACTTATCTCTGAGCAAATTTAAAAGAAAACCCTCAATGCCAAGAGACCTATATTATCATAGCAGTACATTACGAGCATTTACTCCGATGTAAAAAAGACTCGTCTCTTATAATACGAATGGCAAAGACTATACAATCATGATGATGACTACCGGTATATAAAACAATGCAGTCATTTTTGTTAGGTATCAGGTTTTAGAAATATACATATCGTAATTGCTCGTTTTTATAGCCCGGGCCCATATTTTTTTCAACCAACTCACTAACCAGGCCCTTATTCAAACCGGCCCTTATTCAAGCACGGGCGCTTGTTATTTTCGATCGTTACAATAATTAATATATTGTTATTTCCAGTTCTCAAGTATGATTTAAACGAGAAAAACGAGAATTTTGACTTATTCTACGCACCGCAGGTACAAATTCGCAAAAGAAGAAAAGTTGTACGACGCCCTATCAATATTGAAACGACGCACTTGGGCGTCGCGACGCCCAGTTTGAGAACCATGGTGTTACGTAATCAATGCTATCTGTCATGTAATTGGACGCCTAAGGCGTGAGTGTTCTCTACCAGAGCTTAAAATTCAACAGCGTTGTGACAAAAGCGCTTCTTATTTCCTAATGTTCTCTACCACTGAAAAATCAGCTTTTACACCGGGCGGGTATTCAAGCACCGGCCTTATTTAATTTATGTTCTGTTCACACATGCGGCTATTTAAACCAAGTCAATATAGGCGGTGAAACGAGCATATACGGTGTATGCACTGTAATAGTTTTAGTAGCTTCTTGGATTTTCATGGTCGTCATAATTTCGCTCAGAGATAAGTCTCCTTAACTTTTATTTGAGTGCACATGACTTTGCTTTCAGAAATTTTCATGAAAAAATATTCCAAGCATATGTAATTATTTTAGGCATCAATAATCAAGTTATTTCCTTCTTCAAGTTATTTCCTTCCGGGATAAATATGTAAATCCTATCCTATTCAGGTTACCTTTATGCAACCAACTGGCAAAACCACAGCATAGTAAAAGTGAACGTATGGAACGGTGGAGCGCCATCTCTACGACTGACCAAAACTAAAGTTACGACTCTTTATAAAGGCTTGAAGCAGCCTGGCAGTTTACATATAGTACATGATACTAAACAACCTCCAGGTAACTGTTCTAAGTCAGTTGTTGGCAAACTACAGCCTACGCACAAATTTTTATGGTCGAACGACTTCACTTTTAAATGTCACTAACCATTCGTAAACGGCCGATTTCTGTTAGTAAATATTGTTCGTCTTTTTTTTTTTTTGTATGATTCTATGTCAGACTCCCTTATAGGTGAAGCTGCTCCAAAACCATTACTGGTCCATCGTGTCTCTCTTCATGTTGAAATACATTATTTATCATTTTATCTTTCTGTTTGTACACTTTCGTTTTTTCACTATGTGAAAAACTACTGACTGACTTTTAAAGCATAAATTACTATCTGCGCATGAATGTCATAACAATGGCTGTTGTACGTCGTTTGTTTTGTGGTAGTTAGCAAAAACACATGTCATTTACTTGCCAAATGTGCCGTTAGTTGTAATTAACACAGTAATAAGAGTTGCATCATATTTTGTTGCAATATTTTTATACGTGGACATTAATGTGTCCTACTCTCTACCCTCAGTGTGCATATTTTGTTCAGTAATACATAAAGTATGCAGATCTATTCTAAGTGATTCAAGAATCTTGCTGCACACTAACACAAATGTAATTCTGTAACACATACCGTTACATAACTAAGTTTAATCTTTAAGTTGTAGAAGAACTGTGCATTCCACTGTCAGCTTTTGGAATTTTATTTAGTTTAATAAGCTATATTTTCTTTATTTCTCTACAGTACCAGACAATGAAAATGCATGTAAAACACTAAAATGCCAGCACATTTGTCTTCTTGGAAGCAGTTCAAGAGAGGCTTCATGCTTTTGCAGAGCCGGGTATATTTTGGAGTATGACGGGTTATCATGTAAACGTAAGTTGGAAACTTCTGTAGTGGGTCTGAGAGTCTGATTCGAATTTTTCAACATTCTAATCTAATTAACCCTCCCATTTATCCCATTGTGAATTTCAAAAGTATTGAAGAAATTGACACAGACTTTGCATACCACCATGGCTAATTTTTATTGAATAATCATCCCATTTTTTTCTAGAGCCAAAAGAAGAACAAAAATTCTTGTTAATTGGGAAGACCAGACCAGGCGAAATAAAAGCTGTCAACATGTTCAAACCAGAACATACCATCGAGCCGATTGTTCCAATTGAGAACTTACAAAATCCTAAAGCAATCGACTATTACAAGTGAGTACATTTGTAGTGATTGACTTGTTTTATATAGTTTATAGCCAGGGACGGCCAATATCTAATAGTTCACTATATTGAATACATCCGGCTATTATTCGGAATTATTCAAAAATCAGCCGGAAAAGGTATTCGAAGACTTTGATATTCGATTCGTTTTGGACAACTCTGTCCATAATGTATAGCAGAGGTTCCCAAACCAGGGGTCGCGACCCCAAATTGGGTCGGAGTGATAAGTAGGTAGGGTCGCAAACAGGTCATGGGGTCGGTGGGGTCGCTGAGGTATGGTGGAGGATGGATACACAAATCATCTAAGATTTGACAAACCGTGTTAAATTTAGCAGTTTGTGAAACAGGCTCATAAGCGTCGCTCTATGCTTATGCTATAGAAAATGTACGTGCTTATTGTGACATCACTGTTTGGTTTTAGCTTATCTTACTTAATATCACCACATGACCAAACTCAAAAGTCCAGTGAAAGAAATTCTAAACTAAAGTTTCATGAAAAATATATATATTGACCTGGGGTCGCACTGGACGCTTGAAAGTTCTTCCTGGGGTCGTCCTGGAAAAAGCTTGGGAACCCCCCGATGTATAGTTTGTTTATAATTCATATCATGGCACTGTAAATTGAAAGATTGTTCAGTTTTATGATAAATATTTTTTTGAAGTTGGGTAACCTATTAACTTTTTACTTTATGTGTGATTCCTATTCTTCGAAACTGATTTTGGTTTGAACGTTTTTATTTCTTATCTCATAAACAGTGATAGTTCCGGTGATCGCTGGGTCGTTTTCTCGGACACGACGAGATTTGTCATTGCGAAACGGAAGATTGGGAGCTTAGTAGATGAGGTGTGTTATTCTAGCATTTTCCAATGGACTTCCATCATATTTATTGGACACTAAGTTTACATATGAGTCGTTTTCAAAATTGTTGTTTAAATCGTTAGGATTGTTATTTCTGTTGGTGTACAAAAATCCCTTTTCTTGGATTAGTTTCTAACTTTTCAGTACCGCGAGATGGCAGAAGTCTTTTGAGGGCACTGTCATTTATTTAAAAAAATTTTGAGTGTTATGGGGTCTTATAATTCACCTAGAATTTTGCTTTTTCGTTTTAATGTATGGTAACACTTTACTATGACACCTGGTACGCTTTCATACAACATTCGATAATATTCTTGTTTCAATGTTTAAGTATTTGAAAATTGCACTCTTGTTCACACTGTTAAATCAGTGGTTTCCAACCTTTTATCGCTCATGGCCGGCCCCCTTACGGAGGTTTTTAGAACTCATTGCCCCCTGTTTTATTTTATAGTGTTATTATGTTCAAACACTTCATGCTTTACAAAATGAAAACACCCTGTGAAATAAATTCATCAAGCAATTGAACTAGGCCATGTTGCTAAATGTTCCTTTTCTATATTTTTAGATTATCTTCAGCAGTGGCATCCATACTTGTGAAGGTCTTGCCATTGACTGGATGAGCGGTAATCTGTATTGGACGGACGATGGATTCAAAACTATTTCTATAGCGAATTTAACTAACCCAAATGGATACCAAGATTCAACTAACACTACTGGTAAGAATATGATGATTTTTACTCTCTAGGAAGTACCATAGTATTGGGCGCTCCAGAAGTATGTGTACCAATATGGAGGTAACTAATTCTGTCCGTCAACTTTACATCAAAGTGTCTAAAGGGGCTGAAGCCTATGGGCAGGGGATATATTCACTCATCATAGAACTAAAATAAGGAAAATCGGATTAAAATTGTGGCCTAATTCTAACCTGGTACACACACTACGGCAGTAGCGAGTATTGTGTACTGAACTGCAATACCTTTCTCTTTGTTTACATGTTTACTTAGGATCCTTATGTAGCCATTGATACAAGGATGCTTAAAGGAGAAAATATTCTAGGAATAAATAAATAAGGACAGCATAATCTGATGAATTATAACTTTCTGTAGCAAATTTAACTGATCCAATTCAACTCGTGAGCAATGAGCTAGTCTAATATTTTGTTTCTCTATTTTGTGAAAAAATACTTTTGTTGTTCTATCTAAAGTCTAAAAATTCAAAAAAGTCTTCAAGTTTTATAACATAATCATCAAGGTGTTTTCATGATTGCCGAAGTATTTTCTCCAAATTGTTCATTCCAGAATACTATTGTTTTTATTATTTTTTTACCAAGAAAATATGGAAAACGTCTTAAAATCATGTCACTAGGCAAACATTCGGCATTTCGTAATAGATACCTACCTCTAGAACACAATTTGAAACAGCGATCAATTTGATATTACTTTAACAACTACAGGACTTGCTTCTAACCAGTGCCTTGTTTAGAACTATGTATACATACAAAATGAAAAAATATAAATTTATATTTTTCAGAATCGAAGCACTACATTCGCAAAGTTATAGTCGAAGGGAACGTAACTCATATCAGAACTATTGCTTTACATCCTGCGAAAGGGTACAACTATTATTTTTTAAATTTTAAATTTTTTTATTTGATGAGATGAATTCACTGACCATTTGAGCCGGTATTTCAAATGTGTATCTTGGCCTTAAAAAATAAATCTGGTTCATTCATCTCTTGGAGAGGAAAGTACGAAAATGTAAAGAATATTTTTAAAATTTAAAATCGCTGCTGTAACAAGATTAGGAGCTCCCGAAGTATGTGTACCAAGATGGCGCACAACCTGGACATAGTATGTGTACCAGGTTAGGGTTCAGGTTGTGTGCCATCTTAGTGCACATACTTCGGAGCGCCGAAGATTATGCACAATTAACTGAACAAAACACACAGTTTACAGCTGAGTCAAGGCCTTGTTTAGAGTGATAATTTCATCAAAAATATAGTATAGATCAGGGCTACTCAACTATTTTTACCAATAGTCTGTACAGAAATTGGTACTTCTGAAGTATGTGAACCAAGATGGTGGACACCGGAACATAGTAGGTAATAATTCCAGGTACAAATACTACCGGAATCACTTAACTAGTCCCCGAACTTGTAATAGAACTAAAATAAGGAAAATTGGAATCATGATCTAGCCCTAACCCGGTACAAATGCTATGTTCTGGTGTCCGTCATCTTGGTTCACATACTTCAGGAGCGCCGAATTTTTTGGGTTAAACTTAATTTACTCTGTTTTCAGTATCATGTTCTGGACAGACTGGAAAGACCAGGAATTGCCAGGAAAGTTTGGACAGATTGAAAAAGCTTGGATGGACGGTTCTAACAGAGATGTTTTTGTTTCGGGTGAGTTTAATAGTAGTAATTGTAGGTTTTGAGAGCGGGGAGGACAATGTCAGGCAGTGGTATGTGGTTATCCAGATGCTCTCAGCAGATTTTTTTCGTGTTTTACATGCGTGTTATGAAAAAGAAACTATCAGTTATTATTGTCTATTATTTTTCGGTTGTTTTTTGAATATTTAATAAAATTTGCCCGTAGTCTCTCAAGTAATTCTTCAGAATTCACAATTTTTCTGTCATATTTATAAGTAAACTAAAGTGTTTTTAGTTGATACACTCAAAATTTTTTTCCTTTTTAGGGCCAAATATTTTATGGCCTAACGGCCTCACAATTGACTACAAGACAAATTATGTATATTGGGCTGATGGACATTTTGACAGAATCGAAAGACAACATATAAACCGCAGAGATAGGAAGGTAGGTCATCATAATTCTGTAATGTTATGCTCGATTAACTTCTTCTGTGAGCTGCTTAGCAGGGCTTTGTAAGTCGAGTTCGATTCCATTTCTGAGAAAACATAATTTTGATCCCAAAAACTATGGCATGTGCTTACCTTTTTTAATTATCTATTGAGTATGCTTAATAAACTCAACGCTCTTTGGAAAATTATAATTTGACTCTGGGGAGTTGGGAGCTGACTCTTAAAATAATGACTCCTGCTTCAAAAGCAATAAAAACAGACCCAACTCAGACTGCGAAACCCTCAACTTTCTGCCCTGCACCTGATGCTCCTGGTCTCTGGATTAGCAAACACAGCCCATAGTATGGAGTGTGATAACTTGAAAATGCAACTCAATGTATCTATTTGTTTATACAGCCGCACTCAAGCGATGATTGCTGTAGCATTTTAAATCAGACACCAATCATTACTATGCTGTAGTGTGTTAATTCTCTCAACTTTGTTCATTAGACTATTGGGCCGCTTACTGTTAGCATCACCAATTCGTTATTTGTTTTCTTGTTTAATAACATTTACTTGTGTTATATTTTACTTTAGATTCATTCTAAGAGTGCTTTAGATTTAAGTTGAATAAAGCCTTATATCAAGGTACTAAATTTCACATTCATTGCATGGGGTTTAAATTAATTTCAGACCCAGTAATGCAGGGGTGAGCAAACTACGGCTCGTTGGGTAATTCAATCACCCCGCCTGATCTTGCCACAATCAAACAAAACAAAATTTTGATGTTATATGTTTTTAGCTGCTTTCTTTTGAGAATGCTTAGCGCTGGGCCACATAGTGGTTTCCTGGAGGCCACAAGCACTGGTCTCCATTAGATACCATTTGCGATGATTACATTAGTGTAAATAAAATGCATATAATTTGTTCAATTCTTTGTCTGTAACCCATTTTTTAACTCTGGTTGGCTTGAATGTGGAGAATAAACAGTTGATTACCTATTGATCTTAAGGTATTTGTCTGTTTGTTTGTTTGTCTGTTGGATACACGCGATATCTCGCAAAAGCGAGGATGAATCCGCTCCAAATTTTGCATATGCATTCATCATATCTCAAATCAGAAGCCTATTGATTTTGGATGAATTATGTCGTATAATTGGCGAGTTATTAATTAATTAGTGATGGGACACAAGGTGTCACTATGGAGTAAGAGCGCTGTTTTGGGGATCCCCTAACTTTCGATCGATAAGTCTTCGGTCTCTGACCGATATTCACGTTTGTCAGTTATTTGTTTTTGAAAGCATGGACTTGGTGGTGGAGGAAGCCGTTACCGACCAGCGGTTACGTGAACCACCCAATGACGAGGAGGAGTATAGCAATCCTCTCGCACATAACCATCCCTGCATGGGATTCAAACCTGCGAATCCACGCAGAGTAATCAACGCTAACGCTTAGCACGATGAGCCACACCGGCGCGCCGTATTATAAAATTTCATTTCCATTCCAGATTATTTACAGTGGAAAATTTGGCGATCTTGTTCATCCATTTGGACTTGCAGTTTATAATGACGGAGCGGAGAATAAATTTTTATTTTGGACAGAATATCGTACTGGATACCTGATGCGATTAAATCTTGGAGTGCTGGATAGCGGAAAGAATCTCACGAAGAGAGATTCTAAAGTTATGCAGTTTTATGATACACAATTATACGGGGTGAGTGAACTTGAATCACTGAAGCAAGAATTTTCGACCTATTTTTGGACACGTTTAGTGGCCATCACGATCGTTTCAAAATTTTGTTGTTATTGTTGTTTTCTTTCGTCATTATCATTGAAAAATCGCTTTTCTCTTCGAATACTGGACCAATTGCTTTGAAATTTTCAGTGGTTGAAGATAAAATTTTTCTCCAGAAGGCTATTACTTTTTTTTTCGCTATGACGTCATCAAAATTATTGCTATTGGGTGGCTCTACGTGTCCATATATTTGAGCATAGCTCTCTTGTCTTGATTACCCAGATAAAATCAAACCCCTCCATTGCATGGACCAGAGGTTTTGAACTGGGGTTTGGGAGAACCTCAGGGGCTTTTTTTATTTTTGAGGTTATTTGCCCGAATAAAGTTTGAGTGCACTCGCTCAGAAATAAAGGAAAATAATCTCTGAGTAAAATTACAAGCTATTACAAGTGCCAGCTGTCGAGACAAAAAAAATCTTGGCGCTCCAGAAGTGTGTTCACCAATATGGAAGTTACTAATTTAATTTGCCTATTTTACATCAAGTCGTGTAAAGTAACTGAATCCCATGAGCAAGGGGTATATTTATTTGGTTAACACAGACATTCCCTGAACTCGTAATAATACCAAAAAAAAGGAAAATCTGAATATAATTTTGGCCCCCGGTACACATACTTCGGGAGTACCAAAATTTTGGTGTCGATTTGTGCGTTAGTGATTACAGATTAACATGAGACATGGTTTCTACACAAGATAATGTATCTGATGCATATTAATTGTGTTTATACTTGGTGGTATCATTCAGCTTTGACAACAATCCACATGCGATCTGGAGATGGTGATCGTCATATTACCAGGAATATGCCTTAGTCTGTTATTGTAACTACTAATTCACCTTCAACTAATTCGTTTTATTTTCCAGGCTGTTGTATTTGACTTGGACCAGCGCAAAGGGGTGACAAAATGTTCTTCCAAACCTTGTAGTGATCTTTGCCTTCCAGTCCCTGTTGGGGAGGGATACGTCTGTCAATGCCCGGATAACAGAGAGTTATTGTCTGACCGGAAGACATGTGTTGGTATGTTCGATAGCAGGCCTGCATAACTCAAATTACCACGAGGGCCGCAAGCATAAATCTGAAGGCCCGGCGGGCCGCAAACTTTGCCACAAAAAAGAAACTTTAGTTTCATAAACTGCTAGTAAAAAATAATGGGGTTATTAATAGGTTGCTAATATGCACTAATGGGAGTGAGATTGTATACCGATATTGTTTTAGCGTGATTCAGTCTGAATACTGAGATATCTAAATCAGGGTTTCCCAAACGGGTTTCGAGCGACGAATTTTGGGGGCCGCGAAGGGACACCAATTTCACGATTTCAAAGTTCGATATTTATTGAAACTAGTGCAAAACATAAATCTCACGATTTCGAATATGATTGGAGTAGCGGCGCGCTTGCATAACAATGCCGGCTTTGATTGTTAGATCGGAGAAGTGGCGTGTTTCCAAATCACCCGCGGGCCGCACAGAAGTATCTAGCTGGCCGCATGTTGTGCAGGCCTGTTTTACAGGATATTCCTTTAATGTAGTGGTTTCCAACCTTTTATATCTCATGGGCCCTTCTGGAAGCTTATAGCCCTCATGGTCCCCGTTTATCATTCCAGGTATATTTAAAATGGTGTTTTAATTGGTAGATTCCAAATCCTATTATGTTTAAACAATTCATGCTCAATATAGTGAAAACACACTGTGAAATAACATTATCAAGCAATGAAACTAGAATTCGGTTGGAAACCGAAGACTTATCGAACGAACGTTAGGGAATCCCAAAACAGTGGTCTTACTCCATAGTGACACTGTGTGTCCCATCACTAATTAATTAATAACTCGCTGATTATACGACATAATCCATCCAAAATCAATAGGCTTCTGGTACGAGATATGATGAATGCACATGCAAAATCTGGAGCAGATTGAACCTCGCTTTTGTGAGATATCGTGTGCGTCTAACAGACAAATACCTATCAACATACTTACCGATCAAGATCGATAAGTAACTAGGAAGAACGGGTAGCTTTCTTTTAAAGGGAAAATCAAAGAATGTTTTGCGCCTCCCTTGTGGCCCTTCTTCAACTGCTCTGTAGCCCTCTTGAGGAGCCACTGCCCCCAGTTTGGGAAATTTTCCTTTGTATTGAACGACCTAATAACTGGTTCTCTCATTTCACAAAATGTTTGTATTTCACTATGTAAGCTACATTAACATGACACGCTGTATGTTAATCTAATACATATCTCGCGAAACACCAAATATAGATCAGTCGCTTGAGTGCATGATACCCATTTGCTGCAAAAAACAAGAGGCATTGATTATCCCACTCTTAAGGTTCGTGCAATGTCGTTGAATTACTAGCTGAATGTCCATCATTACTTGTGATAAACTTGATGATCTGATGGACAGAGCATTAGACTCAACTATGTTGGCTTTAAACGTAGAAGTCTCTTCGGCCCCCATCACTCCACCATGTGTGGTATGAATTGCATTGCCAAAAAGAAAGATTATGGCTCCCCAAAATAGTACCTCAACACATATCAGTTTGTATAGAGCCCTGCGTGAAGTGAAAAACAACACGACATAGACTCCTATCATTCTATTCTTACAGATAAAAAGAATTATACTGCTCCTCCGCTATGCAAGGATAAAGGATACTTTGCCTGCAACAGCGGGCATTGTATAATGAGTCAATGGAAATGCGACGGAGAAAACGATTGCTCGGATAAAAGTGATGAGGATTGGGAAACTTGTCGTGAGTTTTTGTCATATTGAGTTCCCAAAAAAGTTCGTTCTATTCTAGCAATAACAATTAAAACTTTGCTCGATTTTATAGTAATAATAATTGTATGTTAAGCTCCCCTCACCAGAAAGAGTTTTGTTGTTTTGGGGTGAAAATACTGAAAAAGCGCTTTGTATTCACTAATTTTTACTAATATTGTATAGTTTTCAGTATTATTTCAATAAATATCAATCCACCCAAGGGAGAAAAGAGACACAAAGGGAGTAATTTGTTGAAAAACGTTGTATTAACCGAATTATTTCACCTTAACGATACCATTTTTATTCACAGAAAACTCAACATGCGGGGAAGATCGATTCAAATGCCAAGAAGCCGGTATATGTATCCTCACCCAATGGGTTTGCGACAACGATAAAGATTGCCCTAAAGGGGGTGAAGATGAGGACCCAGAACTATGTAATTCAAGGACAAGAAGTTGCCTCGATTCTCAATTCCTTTGCGACAACGGTGCGTGCATTCTTAAGGAATGGGTCTGTGATCTTGATAACGATTGTGGAGATGGATCGGATGAAGAGGCGAATTGTAGTAAGTGTGGGTGTAATAAATTGGGTTAGGGTTAGGGCAGAGGTCGGCAACCTTTTGTCGCTCACGGGCCAAATTAAGGGTGGCAAGTCATTGGCGGGGGCCGCACATATTTTTAGAAAGTTGAAAAACTGAGCGAATGGTACTTTTTATAATGATACATCAAGCAGTGATACATCTCTCGAATAGAATATGGATTTATTTCCTCATTGCATCTCATAAAATTAAAAATTTGTTTATTGATAGTTCTTATTGTGCTTGTAGTTCTTATTTATCATACAATAAAATTTATTCAAACTCACAATTATTATTACTATCAAATCGAACAGATTTTTTGGATTTCCTGTTTACATCATGTTATTGTAAAATGGGATTGACGTTGAATTTTGTCTTGGTATAATATTCCACAGAGGGAATCGCCCATGTATGAAACTTTCTGAAGGGGGAGGTTTGGGAGTGGAGTCTTACATGATGCAAAAAAGTGTGGCATATCAGATTCAACATCTTGAGCTAAAATTTTATGCTTATCGCCAGGGGCGTGCCCCGGGCGGACAGACAACGACACTTTCCTGACTTCTTCAGCTTCCTTCTGTCCAAGCATTAATCCGACAACTTCTAGACAGGCTGGTTTTATGAGTTCTTCTTCGATATTATGCGGCTTTTTCTGTCGAGCAATTAATTTGGCAACGTGATAGCTAACTTCTACTGCTTTTTCCGAGACTGTGAAAGTTGATTTCATAAAGTGCTTTGGCTTTTTATTTTGACTCAATATTCGTTGAAAGAAATCCTTATTCTTGCCAGAATAAATGGAATGTTTTGTTTTTAAATGCCTTATAAGTTTGCTTGGAACCATTGCTTGATTAGCAAGTTGTTCTCCACAAAGTACGCAAAGTACACCAGGGGCGGGCCCATGTTATTCGGCTTTTGGTCGGCCTGCTAGCTGTCACCGTCTAACTTGGCAATTAGAAATGTCAACCCCCCCCTGGAAATTCTTGGTTGTGTCCCCGCCTACCACCTTACCCCGAGTGTATTAAATTAACTTGTTGAGTCTGAATCGTAAAAATTTCACTTCTTCCAAGCCATGTTAGTCTACCCACCTTACCCCGAGTGTATTAAATTAACCTGTTGAGTCAATTCATAAAAATTTCACTTCCAAGCCATGTTAGCCTACCTACCTTACCCCGAGTGTATTAAATTAACCTGTTGAGTCAATTTATAAAAATTTCACTTCTTCCAAGCCATGTTAGCTTGTTACTTGGTAGTTTGCTTACACAGAGCCTTGTTCTGAACTAAAGATGTATAATTTGAAAAAGAAAAATGATCTTAACAGAAATTGTATTGTATGCGAGGTTGAATTTTGGGTACCCCTGTAGTGTGTGTACCAGATTAGGGTAAGGGCATAATTTTATTCCGATTTTCCTTATTTTAGTTCTATTACGAGTTCAGGGACTGTCTGTGTTAGCCAAGTGAATATAGCCCCTGCCCATAGGTTTCAGTCCCTTTACACAACTTGATGTAAAGTAGGCGAACAAAATTATTTGCCTCCATATTGGTACACATACTTCTGGATCGCTGGATTCTTTTAGTACCTGCAACACTAACATTTCCTTCTTTTTCCAGCCTTCACTGGTTGCAATAATACAACTGACTTCAAATGCAATACCGGTATGTGTATTCCTAGCTCATGGAAATGTGATGAGGAAAATGACTGTGTGGACAACAGTGATGAAGATGTTTCAGCAGGTACTCCTCTTTTTGTTTGTAGAAAATAAGACTAAAATCAGAATCTCTTGAATGTTTCTTAGAAAATTAGACTCAAATCAGACTTTATGGGATCTTCGGCAAATTAGCCTCAAATCAGACGTTAACTGGTGTATTGCGAATTAACCTCAAACCAGACTCTATTGAAAATTTTGAAAATTAGCCTCAAATCAGACTCTATTGGATGTTTTGCAGATTAGTCTCAAATCAGACTTTAACGGATGTTTTGCAGATTAGTCTCAAATCAGTCTTTTGGCCCGCATCCGAACCTTTTTTTTTACAAAATCACTTTTATAGATTTAAATATTATATGAAAAGAACTATAACGCCATGATAAACAATCTTGATTAGCTAATAATCATTAGTCGGCCGAGGGGTGCGTGTTTAAGGATGCCGAAATATAATTCCAGGAAAGACTGGACCCAAATATTTTTGAAGTTTTGTATGCGGATCTTCGGTAAAAATAGTTGAGTAGCTCTGCCATAGTGGCTCCATATCAGCTCCACCACGATGGTTGCAAAAACATCCATTTAATTGGTAACATTGGCCAGCATAAAAAGTTTTGGACCTCCTGAAGTATGCGCACCAAGATGGCGCAAAACCTGAACTCAGGTTATGGTTCAGGTTATGCGACATCTTGGTGCACATACTTCAGGACCACCAAATCCTTTTTGTTCACTCCTAACCCAAATGCTTCTATTTTCAGGTTGTAATTATGGATGTGAATCTCCATTTGAGTTCCGATGCGCAAACTGGGAATGCATTCCATCAAGATGGAGATGTGATGGAGCTAATGATTGTGGTATGTTTATTACTTATCGATTTTAATCGGTAAGTATGTTGATAGGTATTTGTCTGTCTGTATGTCTGTTAGATGCACGCGATATCTCACGAAAGCGAGATTGAATCTGCTCCAGATTTTGCATGTGCATTCATCTTATCTCGGACCAGAAGCCTATTGATTTGGGGCGAATTATGTCGTAAATTAGCAAGTAATTAATTAATTTGTGATGGGACACAAGGTGTCACTATGGAGTAAGAGCACTGTTTTGGGGGATCCCCTAACTTTCGATCGATAAGTCTTCGGTCTCTGACCGATATTCTCGTTTATGGTTTATTTCAAGTCAGTAGTTCCTAACCTTTCATGACTTTGGCCCTTTTCCGAAGACTTTTAGTACAAATAGTCCCCTGTTTATCATTCCAGTGGTATTTATAGCGTTATTCTAAATCCCATTATGTCCAAACAATTCCTCCCTAACAAAATGAAAACACTCTGTTAAATAATCTTATCAAGCTATGAAACTAGGAAGAATCCCTAATTGCTCTCACAATAATTTTCTATTCTATATCAGTGTTCTTCAACCTTTTTCATCGTGGTATACCTTTTACAAATTTTCAAGAACTTTGTATACCTTACAAATACCATTGTTTATTTAAGGCTTAAATAACCATTAAATTTTAGGCACATATTGTACTGCAATATCATCATGCAATCTAATAGGCTAGTGTCCGCAAGTTATAAATTTGACTGTCGGCTTTAACGTCAACAGGAATAATGTTCATTCTAAAGCAAACGAAGTGCATGGCAGCAGAAATCACCAAGCCAGACACGTGACCGCTTTATCAATGACATTTTATATTTCATGTCCTCCACGTTTGCATTGTTGCCTTCGCTTGAATATTTTATAATTTATTTTATGAGAGTTTAGAATCCTTGACTTAGGCTGTACACCCTTTGTATACCCTTCATCAGTTGTATACCCAACTTATGGTCTGGTATACACTTGGGTGCCGTATATGCTCGATTTTTCAGTGGTAGAGAACAATAGGAAATAAGAAGCGCTTTCGTCACAACGCTGTTGAATTTTAAGCGCCAGTAGATAACACTCTCGCCTTAGGCGTCCAAGTTCATAACAGATAGCATTGATTACGTAACGCCATGGTTCTCAAACTGGGCGTCGCGACGCACCGTCGTTTCAATATTGATAGGACGTAGCAAAACTTTTTTTCTTTTGCGAATTTGTACCTGCGGTGCGTGGAAAAAGTCAAAATTTTTGTTATTCTCGTTTAAATCATAATTGAGAACTGGAAATAACAATATATTAATTATTGTAACGAACGAAAATAACAAGCGCCCGTGCTTGAATAAGGACCGGTTTGAATAAGGGCCCGGTTAGTGAGTTGGTTAAGGAAATGGGGGCCCGGGCTACAAAACGAGCAAATAGGGTATACTGTATTTGGGTTGAAGAGCACTGTTCTATATCATTCTTTTTTTCATAGTCGATAACTCTGATGAGTTAGATTGTTCTGAAGAGGATAATTCACCAACCATAAGAGAATGTAACCCACAGGAAGAATTTACGTGCGGCTCCGGCGCATCTTCGGCTGTAGGTGGGGGTAAATGCATATCAAAAAGTTGGAAATGTGATGGCGACCCAGACTGTATGGACGGCAGTGACGAGGCAAACTGTAAAGGTATGGCCACAGGTGCTAGAGGCCTTCGTATGGAAATCATACATTGGCACTTTCAATTTGACTCGCTCCACCAACGATATGTTGCACAATGCACAATCATTATTTAATATAGTTTCGATACGTCTTGGGATTTCAGTGAATAATTTGCTCATATAGCTGAGTTCCCTGTAACTCTGAGTGCTCAAATTCTTTAAAATAAAAAATTGTTTTTGTTGTTTTGGGTCACAAGTCAAGTCTCAGTCATAGTGGATTTCATGAACGCAGTGAAATGTATAAATATTAGTTTGTCACATATTTTTCGTTGTAGTTTTTGCTGCAACAAGATAATAATTTCCTTTTCTTAGCAATGACTCACATTGAGTCTTTGAAAAAGGTGACCTGAGTAGAGTAATTCATTCGAGTCTCCTTAACACTGTCATAACTTCATGTACATATTTCCCACAGTCGGCACCTGCTCTCAGAATGAGCGAAAATGCTTGAACACATCGGAATGTATTTTTGCCACCTGGTGGTGTGATCAGGACCCGGATTGTGAGGATAATTCTGACGAAGCTCATTGCGTATGCGAGTTTGGAAACGATGGGAAACCTAGGGTGAGTAATTACCTATCGATCTTGATCGGTAAGTAGGTTGATAGGTATTTGTCTGTCTGTATGTCCGTGTGTTAGATGCATGCGATATCCCCGAAAGCAAGGTTCAATCTGCTCCAAATTTTGCACGTGCATTCATCTTAGCTCGGACCAGAAGCCTATCGATTTTGGATGAATTATGTCGTATAATTAGCGAGTTATTAATTAATTAGTGATGAGACACACGGTGTCGCTATGAAGTAAGAGCGGATAAATCGAAACCACAGTTTCTGTTTTGAGGGATTCCCTAATTTTCGATCGATAAATCTTTGGTCTCCGACCGATATTCTCGGTTTTGTATTTGGGCAGATTTTAACACTTTTGTTCCCAACAAAACTAGCAGTGCAATCTATTACTTTTTGCTGGGCTTAGGGAGACTGGAACACCTTAGTTTGACTGAGCTGGGCGATGTGGCTCATCGTGCTAAGCGTTATGAATACCCTCGCCACCCGCACCTCTGATTACTCTGTGTGGGTTGGCAGGTTCGAATCCCATGTGGGATTAATTAGGTGCAAGAAGATTGCCAGACTCTTTACCGCCGCAGGGTACCGCTGGTCAGTTACCGTTTCCTCCACCATCAAGTCCATGCATCCAAAAAAAAAATAACTGGCTAACTAATCCCATAATCGACATGGACTGGTAATCGAGCAAGATGCCGTGGTTCGCCATATGGTTAAGCCGTGTTGTCGGCTTTCTTATCCCCCAGAATATATATGTAGATCCTATCCTTTTCGAAGCCTCACCCTATTCCTTTCACTGTTGAATAAGTGAATGGTTTTGAAAAATTCATTTTTTGAAATTTGTAACGTTTATCGTTTTGTCTTCAATCTGAAGAGCCAATGTGCTCAGCCCCTTCATCCCAGTCTCCCATTTGTTCGATTATCTTACAAATTCCGCATGACACTACAAAAGATTCACATATTCATCCCGGGGAAAAGGAAAGCCGATAAGACATCTTAACTATATGGCGAGCCTCTCGTCCGGTTACCAGTCCATGTCGGGTATGGGATTAGTAGATAAGTATTTGTTTCAGATGCATGGACTTGGGGGGGTCAAGGAAGCCATAATCGACCAGCGGTGAACCATCCTACAGTGGTGAGGAACCTAGCAATACTCTCGCACATTATCATTCCCCAGTGCGTTCGAACCTGCAAACCATCTCAGCTCAATCAAAAGTGCTGCAGTAAGCGAATTTCTAACGCTTAGCACAGTGCGCCACACCGCTGAGCCGCCATATTGTTCAATAATGCTTGGTGCATAAAATTTGACTACAATATTTTACACTCGTAATCCTAAAAACTCTGGCAAAACAGCTTCTGATCTATATGAGAAGACCTTCTAATGAAGTTTGGTCATTTATGCTTGCCTTAATTATTCTCAGTTCAATAAATTCTGTTTCTTCTCTACAGCATCGATGCCTTACTTCGGTTGGAACGTACGACTGCGTACCTAAATGTGATGGACATGCAGATTGTGTAGACAGATCAGATGAAAAAAACTGTGGTATGTTATTTATCTTCTCATCTACCAAGATGTGCCACATCATGCTAAGCGTTAAGAATACGCTCGTCACCACTCTGTGTGGGTTCGCAGGTTTGAATCCCATGCAGGGATAGTTATGTGCGAGAGGATTGCTGGACATCTCGTCACTGTAGGGTGGTTCACGTAACCACTGGTCGGTTACGGCTTCCTCCACCATCAAGTCCATGCTTCCGAAAACAAATAACTAACTAATCCCATACCTGACATGGAATGGTAACTGGACTACACGTGGTTCGCCATATAGTTAAGTCGTCTTATCGGCTTTCTTCTCCCCTTGATAAATATCCTATCTTATCCATTAACTAGTAGTTATTTCCATTGATTACTTGAGTGTGATCACTGGATGAATTTGCCATAAATTGAGCAGCCTTGTAGGTATACTCCTCTCATGCTTTTGGGAAAACTCTCATTGTATCCTAGTTTTATAGGGCAGCACGATAATCCTCTATGTATGAGGCCATTGGGGGGTGGGGGCAGGCGGGAGTTGATGAGTTGACTTAAGCGAATGGCTAACCACAAAAATTTTTGTTTCAAAATCCTGCTAATTTTTTTCCATCAGTGTGCAACCTTACCTGCGCTAATGCTGGTTTTTGGGCCGCGGACTCCTTTTTGTAAGTCTTATTTTTTAGGGACACCCATCTTATGTCATATCAATTTCTGTGCTCAAACTACGAGGAAATATAAAGTTTATTTTGATAAAATAAAACTTAAGATCTAAATCAAAACATACTAATATTAAATATTTGCAGGGTAACGGCAATTCGATAGGATTATCGATTTGCCGATTGTTGCCGATTTGTGTACGTTTCAGACTCTTTTCATATCGTTGCGGCCCTCTTGTGCAATCATCACGGACAGCATGTTTCCCAGCTTTTCATTCTAGGGGGGGGGGGGGGGGGGGGGGGGTTAACTATTTTGCTTTTAGCGATAAAACTATTTGTAACTTATGAAAATGAGTTTTGTAATTGGCAAACGATCTACACTAATAAATATGCCATATTCTATATACAATTAAACTTCAGTTAGGAATAACTGTGGAATCGCACCTCAAAATTAGGGGGGGGGGGGTGTTTGAAATTTTAGTGTCATGTTCACCCGCTATATGGGAGGGGTGCAGAGAAATCACTGATCACAGACTCGCAGGGGTCCAGTTTGGGAAACCCTGGCGTATCAAACTTATTATTAGATCAGGAGCTTTACCATTAGGCCATCATGCCCACAAAATTTCTGTTTATAACAATCCAAATCTTTTTCTTACATTAGTTTACAACCATACCTGTGCCAATGCTGGCTGTGGATACAAATGCAATCAAACCAAGAACGGTTTCCAGTGTTATTGTCCGAAAGGAAGAAGACTGATGGTTGATGAAAGGAATTGCGAAGGTAGGCGTTTTGGGTAGAAAAGTGAATTATTCGATAGTTGCTGGGATGCATGATAACTACTTTTCTTTGTGTTAGTGGACATCATGTCCAGAAAATTTGATAATTAAAATCGCCGCAAGAGCATTTTGCTGTGAAACAAGTATTCGTGATAAAACAGTTAGGGTCATAGATTTAGGGTATGCACTTAAATAACGAATCTTTTTCGAATCAAAACGTACTTCAAAAACCAAAGGAAAAAAAACAAAAAATTAACCTAAGGAATTGTGAAGGGGTGGTTTAGTGCAGAGAACGTCTAATTCTTAGATGGTGGGTTATTGTTTGGGTACTCTCATAGTATCTGTACCAGGTTAGAGTTAGGGCATAATTTTATTTCATTTTAAAAAGGGGGGGGGGGGCGGTTCTTCGAACTTCAGACCTTCACCATGCTGTACCCACAGCTAACTCTCACACACTTCGTCAAAGTTCTTAATTTCACACATCTTTCTACTTTAGACATTCCCTACTGCTCCGAGCATGGTATCTGCTCTCAGATATGCATTCCTATTCACCCTGCTTACGTCTGTAAATGCAATCCTGGATGGACTCTTGCTGGCGATAAGAAAACTTGCCGATTTGAAAAGAAGAGACCTCCGCCATTTGTGCTGTTCTCTAACAGACATACGATCAGAAGGTAATGGCTTATTTGTATTCTAAAATTTATGTAATTACAACTGGAATGAAAGTTTGAAAACACTTCTTTAGGGTGTCAATTGACCCTGACTGATAATTGTCATTAGCTTGGCAGTATGGCGCATTGTACTGAATGATAGGGATACGCTCAGCACCCCTGATCACACTGCGTGGGTTCGCAGGTTTGAATCCCATGCGGGAATAATTATGGACGAGAGGATTGTTGGACCCCTCGCCGCTGTTGGGTGGTTCTTGTACCCTGGCTGATACCATTGCTGGTCAGTTACGGCCTCCTCCACCATCAAGTTCATTCATCTAAACAAATAACTGGCTAACTAATCCAATACCTGACATGGACTGGTAACCAGACGACAGGTCGTGGTTCATTATATGATAAAGCCGTCTTAAGAGCTTTCCTCTCCCCCGGGATAAATATGTGGATCCTAAACATCACACTCTTGTTTGCAGCGTTCATCTTAACATGGATCGCCTTGACAGCGCTCCCGAATACAACTTGTTATCAACAATAGTAGCGAGTCGACTTCAACATATTATTGCTATAGATTTCCATATGAAAGACTCACAGATCTACTACTCTGACGTCCTGGACGATCATATTGTCAGAGGAAAGTTAATATATGATGGTAAGCAACGATGTCTAGAATGAATAGAACATCCAAATTGATTTCAAATTCAAATATTTTCCTAAATTTGTAATAGTTTAGGACAGGGCGGCAATTACCCTTCTGAGTAGGCCAGTTACAGATAATAGACTTCATTGCCCGGAAGCTCAAAACTCAACATGAAAAACTATGAATAAAAACAGTTTATTTACAAAAGCTAGTTCTGACGTTTATGTAATCATAGGAAGCACAATGTGACAACCCTGGGGGGGATGGGGCGGCTCTCGAAGTATGCGAACCAAGATGGCGGACATCGGAATGTAATATGTGTACTAGGTTAGGGTTAGGCCATAATTTTAGGTATAAATGCTACGGGAGGCTCTTGGCTAGTCTTCGAACTGATAATAGGACTAAAATAAGGAAAAATGGAAAAAAAGTATCGCCTAACCCTAACCTGTTACCCATGTTACGTTCCGATGTACGCCATCTTGGTTCGCATACTTCGGGAGCTCCCAATCGGGGTCATTATGACACTATTTTTATCGATATTTTCAACGGAAATTTATATTTCATGAGAGCTATAGTCGTGTCACAGGGGTAGACACGACTGGGCCGATTGAAACACTTCGATGGGCAGGATCTGGCCCGTGAGTCGTAATTTAGCCAACCCTAATTTAGGAGACTTGTGTGTATTTCTGTTTTGAATAAAATTTCAGTTTGAGTGTCTATCTGATTCCGAAGAATACCAAAATACAACTCTTCCCACTATTATCAAAATCTATTCATTCCCATTGGGTGATTAGCTTTCCTCATTCTCTATCTTAAATGGTAACTGAATTAAAGACCATATCACATATCATATTTTAAGACATTTCAACACCTTGCCTTTTCTCCAAGATATGCAATCCAATCTCTAAACTTATTTATAGAAAAGAACAAGCATCTCAAAATGACCAACAAAGAAGTTTTGATCAACCAAGGTCTTGCGACACCTGAAGGAATGGCTATCGATTGGATAGCAGGTTGGAGTATAACTTTTATTAATTTGCCTATGTGAGCTAAGGTGACGAAAAAAATATAATCCAGGTCATTTAAAACAAATTTTAGAGAGAACATAACTTTTGTGGCAATCGTTCTAGATTACTGAAACTTTTGGGTACATGTTAGGGTTAGGCCATAACTTCAGGTACAAATACTACGGGAGTCACTTGGCTAGTCCCCGACCTTGTAATAGAACTAAAACAAGAAAAATTGGAATAAAATTATTGCCTGACCCTAACCTGGTACACATACTACGTACCGGTGTCTGCCATCTTGGTGCACATACTTCTGGAGCGCCGAAAATTCTGATCGTTTTCTATTTCAACTTAGGACACATCTACTTTGTGGAATCCAGTCTTGATCAGATGGAAGTTTCTAATTTAGATGGAACGAATCGCACTGTACTCATTGCCGGGAATATGCACAGTCCGAGAGCTGTGGCTTTAGATCCACGAGAAAAGTTTGGGTAAGTTTGATAGTTCAGAGTAATGGTTTCCAAACCAATCGCGGCCTGCATGCCGATCACAAATAACATACCCATTTACTATGGCCTGTTGAGCTTGAGTGAAATAGTTTAACACCCTATGTTTTTTTCCTTCTGTGTTATAGATACCGCATTTGTTACGTTATTATAAAATTTCAAGCAAGATACAATGTTCGTGACAATTCAAATATACCGGTATTCTAATTATACGCCTCGGTATAGGTCCCTTGCGTTCGCTCCCCTTTCCTGGTCATCGAATGTCATTCAGCTTCTAATTTTGGTCCCCGCTCTATCAACTTTGGGAACACTGGTTTAGAGATAATAATTATAAGCTGTTTTGCGTCTCTGAACATAGCTCTAGATGGGTGGGAATATACTTCATGCGAACAGTATAGTTGAGAAATTTGATTGATTAATTTTGAATTCAATCATCATCATTTCAATCCTAGTCTGGCTCCGAAAAAGATCCTGAGGGAGAAAATACAACATGAATACCAATAAAATTGTTTCAGACTTATAACACATCACACCTGCCAAAGTTTTTAATATCTTTGCAACTATAATTAGAAAATATATGGAAAAACTTCATGTTTTCTTCAAGTGTCTGCCAGAAACTCGCAACTTCTGCAATGAGGACAATGTAGCAAACAGTTACACTTACATTTTTATTTATATACTAAAACTAACTCATACTGACTTCATTGCTAGCAATCTGTTTTTTTTTACATGCTATCTTGTGCAACAGGTTTATTTCTGTTGCACTGGATCCGAGTCTTGGGTAAGTATCTGCTGACATCTAGTGACATGTAGTATTATACCACAAATAAATTGGGTCTGAGCCTTGAGATTGTCTGATTTATCGGTTTGTACCGTGATGCAACCTACTATGGCAAGGAGTCCAGCAATTTTCTTGCACATAATTATCTCTCATAAGATTTGAACCTGCGAACCCACGAAGAGTCATATTCCTAACGCTTAGCACGATGCGGCACACCGTCAGCCCAGCCGATGGAAGCTATTACTGTTCATTTTTTAAATTGTTCTCAAGGTCTACTTCACCCCAAATATATAGGGTCTCATAAAGTTTTTTTAAAATTGCAATTCTTAGGCTTCTCTTTTGGACTGACTGGGAAGAAACTAAAGCCAGAGTTGAGCGCAGCACAATGGGTGGAGAGGAGAGGTCTGCAATCTGGATCGCAAAAAGTAAAGAGGACGGCTGGCCTAATGGACTCACACTTGATTACTTATCCAACAGAGTGTTCTGGGCTGATGCCAAGTAAGATATTTTGTTTTCTTTTAATCTCCTGTATGAATAATGGGTACCCCTGTAGTGTGTGTTCCATTACCAGTTAGTGGAAAGATGCGAAAACAAGCTCTCCAACGATACATGAGCAAAGTTTGTAGCATGTTCGAACAAAAAGATATGACTTTTTTTGTGAAGTCGTTTTGGACCACAAGAAAAGAAGGCAAATTTCCATAATAAAAAAAACAAAAAATGACAAATAAAAATACTATATTCCAGATCAGATGTCATAAGATCAATGAAGTACGACGGCAGCGATGTTTATATTGTATTAAAACATCATCAATGGCTGACGCATCCGTTTTCGATAGCGCTATACGGCCATCATATCTTCTGGACCGATTGGCGAACCACGATGATAGTGTCTGCGAACAAATGGACTGGGAAAAACGTTACCGTTGTTGAATTATCAGTCGTGCAACCTTTTGATATCAAAGTTTATCACGAAAGCAGGCAACCAGGTTAGTATAGATTCCTCTTTTTTTGGGAAGGTGAAGAAAAGCTGTTAAGGTGGCTAAAAGGCAAACCTTGGCTGGGTTATCAATCCATGTTGGGCACGAAAAAATAGTTTACAAGTTATTCTACAGGATCTTATCCCGTCACTAGTCTCATTTATCTAGGAGGAAGAAAGCAATATATATATATAGTAAACCAGCCTCTTTCCTTGAGGCCATGCCTGGTAGGGAAATAGTTAACCAGTTATTTATTTTAGATGCTTGAGAGTTTGGTGGTGGTAAAGTGTTAACAATATGTTTTTTTTACATTTAAATGAAGTGTTTATAATAGAGATGTTGTTAAACATACAATATCAAACATGCACAAAAAAATTCATTTTATTAAGCATTTATCATGCTTGCCATACTTTACGCCACTTTATAACAGTCTTATATTTCCAGATGCTCTAAACCCATGCGAGGTGAACCTTTGTGACGGCATGTGTCTGATCTCATATGCAGAAGTTCTTCACCCGGGAAGAAACTACACCTGCAAATGTCCTTATGGATATATTCTTGATAGCGATGGTTTTGGATGCAACAAAGAGTCGAAGATATTGTTCTATGTCTCTCCAGGAGAGGTAGGTGATAGATTAGAATTTTTCGGTGACCGTACATTTGAACCCATGTACATTTGAACCCATGCGTATATCCACGGGTTCAATCTATATGCGGGTGCTAAAACCCATGGGTTAGGGTTAGTATGGGTTTAACTATCCGTGAAACAAAAAAAATTCCATAGGTGCAATAGCATACAGATGCAATTGTCATGGGTTCAAATGTACGTGGGTTCAAATGTAATGGAACCGAATTTTTCATATTTACCCTGGTTAAAAGGGAAGCCGATTGGAAAGCCTAATCGTATGGCGAATTACAACCTTTTGCCCAGTTACCAGTTCCTGTCTGGTGTGGGATTTGTTAGCCATGTTGCTCATTGCAGATATATAAAATGGATTGTTTAGGAAGAAGCTGTTGCTTGCTGGCAGTTACATGAACTACCTGGCAACCACTAAAATTCGCTCATTGCAGATATATAAAATGGATTGTTTAAGAAGAAGCTGTTGCTTGCTGGCAGTTACATGAACTACCTGGCAACCACTAAAATTCGCTCATTGCAGATATATAAAATGGGTTGTTTAAGAAGAAGCTGTTGCTTGCTGGCAGTTACATGAACTACCTGGCAACCACTAAAATTCGCTCATTGCAGATATATAAAATGGATTGTTTAAGAAGAAGCTGTTGCTTGCTGGCAGTTACATGAACTACCTGGCAACCACAAAAATTCGCTCATTGCAGATATATAAAATGGGTTGTTTAAGAAGAAGCTGTTGCTTGCTGGCAGTTACATGAACTACCTGGCAACCACTAAAATTCGCTCATTGCAGATATATAAAATGGATTGTTTAAGAAGAAGCTGTTGCTTGCTGGCAGTTACATGAACTACCTGGCAACCACAAAAATTCCTCTCATATATACTGCTCCTCGACAAGGTTTGACAGACAAACCCGCGTTTAGTATGCTATTCACCTCTGCATCGCATTTCCATCTTCTTGCACAGTGTTCTTCAAACTTTTTTCATTACGACCCACTTGGCATGACCAAGCTTCTTTCGCAACCCCCCAGAACTAGAATAAAAATGAAAGGAAAATTAATAAAACAGCAAAAATTAAAAAGAAAATCATAAAATTTATAATACCTTTAATGAGACCGATGTGCTTGCATATTCTTGCACAAAAGATGGAATCTTGTCTCCATTTCGGTGATGTTGGTCTCAGTACTAGTTTTAATCTTTCAAAATTGATCGATATTTCGTTTTACGTAAGTTAGTGTCGTAAAATCTTACTGCGACCCCCATTAAGTTTTCCCGTCGTCCATAATTTTCAGATGACTTTGTCAGGTGGGGGTCAGAAAGAAAAACATGGTGCTGTACTTCACACCACTCACCTCTCATTGGGCTCTGTTCTAGCACAATGCACCAACTATCAAAAATCATATTCCAGATCCGAGGCCTCCAAACAGACAACTTAAACTACAGTGCGACGGTAGCTCTTACAACGCCCTATTTATCAAATTCAACTGTATTAGCCTACCATGTTGCTAACGAGAGAATATACTGGGCAGATGCTGAGCGGGGATCAATTAGAAGTGCTTTTATCAATGGAAGCGGATTGGAGAGTGTAATTACAACGGGTAAGTGTGTTGAATATGACTTTTTTTTTTATGTACTCATGGTGTACAATGTTTGAGGGGTACTGGGGGGCACCAGAATAAAAAAAAATGTCTTAGTATTAGAATTAAGCGACCACATCTGGATAGATGGCTCTCCCAAAATTAGGAATATTACCTAATAGTAATGCTTTTGTCTATGGAAGTGAACTACACAATGTTATAACCACTGGTAAGGGTATTCATATTAGGGATTGGACGAGTCCGGCATAACAGAGATTCGACGAACCGAGTAATAGGTCAAGGACTCGAATCGAATCCTCCGAGTCCGTGACGTCACAATGTAAAAGTAGAAAAACACGTTTTTGACCATACTACAGCATCGCGCGCTCACAAACATACGCCGTAGCTCATATTTTGGGCGCAGATAGCTGTTGAATCAATTTAAAAATATATTTTTCTTCTTTTTAAGCTGCCATAATTCAAACGTAAACGTGGGTCAATGTGCGCCTTGGCTGTAAACTGGATTTCCAGCCCACCACCTTGCGTCAATTCTGGGTGGCTATTTAGAAATTCTTACATGTCAAATAGAAAAATAAAAAGCTTTTGACTACAATGCTTTTCCATAATTCCAGACCTTATTTATAGGGGTAAAAGTACAAACATATGCGTAAATTAGTAAAAACAATTGATTATAGACTCGGTAAAAACGACGTGGACTCGAAATCGAATCCGAGTCCAAAAAATGCCTGGATTCGACTCGAATCAGAGTTCGGATCCGAATCCCGGCCCATTCCTAATTCATATACAGCAGGGCTTCCCAACTTTGTGTCACTGTGGAACCCTTAATTTTTATACAAAGTCGTACGGTCCAAGTATTTATTGGAAATATCCAAGTTAAGTCACTTGTTGTCTTGATATAACTATTTAATTTTTGTGTACTCCACTATACAGCAGGGGTGGGTAACTTCTCTAGTCGGTGGGCCAGATGTGGGAAGATGAAGTCTTCGGCTGGCCGGATTATTACAAAAAATACTTCGGTATCCAATCTTTATTAAATGCTCAACACTCTCTGTTATTCCATGGTTAATTAAACTTGGTATAAAATCTAATTTCTAAAATCTATTTATATTTAGAATATAAATATTAATATAACTGATAACAGTAGTGGGGAATGTTTACAACGCTCTCTGCTTTGTCCTTATATTGTTTGTTTAACAAGTGTGCTAACGCAATTGTTTGTTCACAAAGGCAATTGTTCATTACACCAGCTCGCACTGACATTGCGGTGAAAGTAAAGCGATCGGCAACTTTCAGGAATGATGTGTTGGACCACATTACAGAGTGTGGTTGGATATAGTCAGCGGGCCGATCAAAATCTTGTCGCAGGCCGGACCCGGCCCGCGGGCCGTATGTTGCTCACCTCTGCTATACAGGGTGTCCAAAAAATTTGGCTCGATCATATAGTACCTAATAACAATTCAAAAAATGTTTCCTCTTTGTTTCTTAATAGTTCTTATTGTGCTTGTTGTTCTCATTTATCAACCAATAAAATTTATTTAAACTTACAATTGTTATTACTATAAAATCGGGCAAAGTTTTAAATTGTTATTTCTTTAAAAGACCAGACTTTTTACTAAAATTGCCATTTCAAATGACTTGTTAGTTGCCTGCTCATAGCTCTGTTTCGTGTTAATCATCTCATAAAGTATTATTTGTGTTCAGATGTTGACAATCCACATGGCCTTCTTGTCAGTCCTTCATCAAACACTATATATTGGACGTCGTACACGATTGTTAAGAAAAGAAACAAAACAATGAATGCTCATATCAGTGTTGCCAGTCTGAATGGAAAGTTAGTATTGTTTTAAACCAGGTTTTTGATATTAGTACCTCATGTTAATTGTATTTCTGGCAACAGTATTGTTATCCTAGGTTCAAACTAAGTTGGGTGGGCAGGAGTCACCATCCCTTCGGTTGGTGATAGGATGGTCGAAACGGAATCATTGTTAAAAATGGAAAGTGAATCAAAACGATATCTATCTCAACTAATTTTATTCTATGAATTTATCTGCTGATCTTATTTTAGAATATACAGATACATGTTGAATCGGGTCCTGTTCAACAGATACCAAAAAAAAATTAGCTAATATGTAATTTAAGAATATTGGAAATAGAAACTGTTTTTTTCTAAATTTTATTTTCCCACTGTTAGGAGTTCATTAAAGCTTAAATAAGCCGAAACTCTTTCATCAGCAGTCATCTTTGCGTATTCAAAAATTTGTCATCTTACACTGACCAAACTTATAAATCAAAGTTAATTTTCCCATAGAGGGAACACTCAATTAATTCCGGTAACTTATTTTCAGGCTTACTCATCAAGATCATTTTTAGACATGTGACAATACTTGAGCTAACTTTTATAAATCCAGGGGGGGGGAATTTGTTGGTGTTCCCAACTGAAGAAACACCTAATTAGTGTAACACTTAATTAATTCTATTTGGTGATCCCTATAAAAAAGTTGATTCTGGTATCATTCTTCCAGGCTCACACACAGGATCATAACTTCTGCCAATCTCCCAGGACTAAACAAACCTCGAAGTTTGACAGCAGATTTCGAGCATTCCTTGTTATTCTACGCAGACGACGACGGAATCTACATGCTCTATCTTGACGGTTCAGATCCTTTGCAAGTGGGACCTCAAAAAGTATATTTCGAATCCAATTTTTTGTTTTTCAGGACGTGGAAAGGAGTGCATGGGTGATGGAAAGAACAACTAATGACAATGCAGGATTGTGTTTGTTACTAAATTTAAATAACTTAGTTTGTTTCGCATGAAGACTGACTGAACGGCAACATTTTTGAAGTTTTTATACTTTCACTACCTGTGCCATGGAGGCTTACGTTGTAGAATTGATTAGGGTTGAACAGATCTCAAAGTTTGACGCATTTGCACGTTGTTATGGCTCATGTCATTGCTTTGGGCAAACTTGTTCAAAAATTTTAATCCTTTATGTGATATTTCCTTAAAATATATTCTATACTTGGAAAATACCAGGAAATTATCAGAAACACTGGAAAAGGATATCTTTTAAGAAAGTTGGATATATTTATACTTTTAAAGAATACCAAAAAGTATTTTTACTCACTGTAATATAAATTTAAAAAAGCGACTGAAACTGACATCAGCTTGGATAATTTGGTTTAATAATACAGACTTGGTACTTGCAAAACTGAAAAGTCGTCTATTCCTAATGCATAAACAAAAAAATATCATTGAATATAAAATATTAAATGGATTTCATCTTCAGGTTAAAATTAAAGAAATTTCCTTATTTTGGCGTGAATTCGTAAGAAATGAATTTAGTAATGCAGAGTAGTCGCGATTGACATTTCTTTCTGATTTTTCATTTTAATACTCTCATATTTTGAAATTTCATATCGAAATTGACAAATTAGAAATTTAATCTAAGAATCAAAATTTACTATATCAAAAATGCACCAATTTTAAATAGGCAACTTATGACGTACATGTCTGAGTGATAGTCAATTTAAAAAATAGAATTTTATCCGAGCATTGCTTTTTTTGTTATGTGGTGCCATTTGTTTTGAGGTCTGTTATAGTTAATTTTGGACTGATTTTGGACTGATATATCTGAAACTAGCTTGAGGGGTAACTTATTTGTGCTTTCGTATCGTAGGTTGAAATAGTGGCAATAATTCAAAAGTTGGACCTCCTGAAGTATGCGCACCAAGATGGCGCACAACCCGAACTCAGGTTGTGTACCAGGTTAGGGTAGAGGTTAAGCGACATCTTGGTGCGCATACTTCAAGAGCACCCAAAAGTTAGTATTTAAAAAGAGTATTATTAGAGCATCGCTTTATTTTGTTATGTGGTGCCATTTGTTTTGAGGTCTGGACACCAGCCTTATCATATTGCTTTATTGAATTTGGGGTTTTATTGTTGAATATATTTTTTTTTGTCTTGCATAGTTATCTAGAGTTGGCTATTTTCATCTGCTACCCAAGTTGCTCTACTCATTCTCTGCCCATCCATAGATTGAATATTCCCATAATATTCTTGCGATCAGTTTTTACTTGGTCCATGTTTGAAGATGTCCATGTAAACATCATTTCACTGGTTGCCAATTTGATCTATTTTGGGGCATTACTTTCTATATAAATTAAATTTCTTTCTAAAAAAACATTGTTTTTTCCCAAACTATACAAAACCATATTTCCATTCCCTGTAAGTAAATCTGTACAATTAGGATTTGTCCATACTATGCAATTCAAGAGAAACATTTCGAAACATTTTGTTTGACCGAAATCAGACTTCCTCAAACAGGCAGACAATTAGAATTTGTGTTAATCTTTTTCTCTCAGCCTTTTCAAATAGGTCAAAATGAAATATAGAAAAAATGTGGCCAGACAGGATTTTGTTTAAAATCATTATTGTTTATACTGATTTATTTCATACTCGACTCTGGTAGTTAATTAGAAATTCTTATTTTGTCATTTTGTCGAAATTCAATATGTTACAGAAGTTTTAGTATTTCAGTAATCTGTGTGACCTTGCTCAAAGATGAGCCTACTTTGCTTGTGAAATTCCCAAACATTATCTAAGCGCTGAGTAATAAGTGTAAATCCTAAAATTAAAATATGATATCTGTTTTCAGTCGCTTGATGTCTCCATTTCGTTATCATGTCGGTTGTCACTAAATGTTTGCAGACATACTAACTGGTGATTTAAATGTCTCCATTATCCTTCCCTCAACCTCTATATTTTAAATTTTTAGATTTATCCTGGAGAAAACATACAATATGTTCGGTTTGACAAGAGAGATTCCACAGAAGGTGATGGGTCCTACAAAGATGTCTTGTATTTTATCCAGGTAGGAAAAATGGCTTGCATTTTATCTGAGTAAAAATTTTTTTTTTGTATTCCATCGAGGTGGGAAAGTTCAATGTCATTTATCCAGGTAGAAAACTGTATTTTATCTGGATAGAAAAATTTATTGAGTTTTATCTAGGTAGGAAACTTTTTGTATTTTATCCGGGTAGGAAAATTTATTGTGTTTCATCCAGGGAGTAAACTTTTGTATTTTATCCAGGTAGGAAAATTTATTGTGTTTTATCCGGGTAGGAAAATTTATTGTATTTTATCCAGGTAGGAAAATTTATTGTATTTTATCCAGGTAGGAAACTTTCTTTAGTTTTTTTCAGGTAAGAAGTTTTTTTATGTGTTTTATCCAGGTAGGAAACTTTTTGCAGTACTTCCAGTATTATGTGTTTCAATGCTTTTTGTTGAATTTGCATCATTTTCATGCCTTCAATGAGGTCCAATTAAACTCACCTCAAGCTTGTTAATTGCCAATCTCCGTCCCGTCAAGTTTAGATTTTAAATCACGCAACTTTTAATACAGAAGGGTAAGATATAAACTAGAATTCGGTTGGAAACCGAAGACTTATCGATCGAAGGTTAGGGGATCCCCCAAAGCAGTGGGCGTACTCCATAGTGACACCTTGTGTCCCATCACTAATTAATTAAAACCTCGCTAATTATACGACATAATTTGCCCAAAATCAATAGGCTTCTGGTCCGAGATCAGATGAATACACATGCAAAATCTGGAGCAGATTGAACCTCGCTTCGTGAGATATCGCGTGCATCTAATAGACAAACACCTATCAACATACTTACCAATCAAGATCGATAAGTAATAACTGGTTGAAACTGCAGGCCGCTCCTTTACTCAACATAGGCTTCCTAGTAGTTGCAGGCCCAAAATTTTTGATTATTGATCTTATGAGATGCGTTGTTCTCTTCGCGCAAGCTCTTGCAGCGCGAAGTTATTGGAATTATTCGCACATACTAGATTAACTTACGTAAAAACTTGTTTCACAGTTGCACCATTCAAAATTAGCACTTCACCGCTGGCTACACAATATTTTCTTGGCCCGCGGGCTGCAGTCCCCCCCCCCCTGTTTCAGATGACCATCTAAAGTGGTTGCAAACCATTAATCCCTGTTGAATCTTTCGTTTAGAACGGCGTGCTCAAGATGCTCACAAACTCTCCCGAACTTGACATCATCTGGAATGCTACGGCTGTTGCCATGACACCAACTCTTCCAAATATGAAGGCGCTAGAGGTCCACGATGGGTTGATTTATGTTGTCACAGGTAAGTTTCTTCTATTCATGTTTTTTTTTTTCAAGTATGGTTTCACCTTGGGGAGTAACAACCATTGGAACAATGGAGGGAGATTTATTTTTTACAAACAACATTCGCATATATAAAATAAGAAAAAACAAAGTTGTTTTATAATTTGTATATAATGATTGTAGCGCGCACGAAAATATTGTTTGTGTGCGGCAAGATAGGTAGAGGTCATCAGCGTCCCAGGACCATTTGTATATGCTGTATGGCAGCATTTATTAGGTTACAGTCCAGTAGCAATGAATTCAAAATATATATAAATATTTCAATTGGATCTCCGCTTCTAGGATACCCTTATTATCAGTCGTTCTGTCTGTCTGTCTGTGTATCTGTCTGTCTGTCTGTGTATCTGTCTGTCTGTCTGTCTGTTTGGATGTAGCGGCTTAACGGCTGTACCAATCTTGATGAAATTTTCCATGTGGGTTATCCTGTCATCCTAGTATTATGCGTTTCGTAAAAAGTCCGGATATGGATTTCGTTTCCATGGTAATAACGAAAAATGCGCCAATCGTTACGGAATTTAAATTTTTTTCACATTTTATCGCAGTTTTCTCGCCAACCAAGTCGAAAATTAAAATTTTAAGAACGCTACCTTCCGCATAGCGAAATACTCTTTTAAAAAGGTTATCTTTGGTCTCGATACTCCATAAACTGGAGGAACCTCAGGGATTTTAGTGAAGAATATTTTTTAATTTTCAACCACAATATACCAGTTACGTGAGTAAGACTACGAAACAGGCAGCGTTTGAAATAAACTCAGCGGAACGCGCAGCCTTCAAAATGAACTGTCGTTTTTAGTAGTGTCTCCTAATATCCGTTAGTAAACTGAAATGATGCCGGCTTCAAGCAATGGCGGAGATCCAACTGGGCGCCTACCGGCTTGTTTCACAAATTAATTACCAAGAGCAGTGGATTTCAATTGGTAGGGCTCGCCCCACAAGGGGACGTAGACAATTTTTTAAGCGGGTGTGAAGCTGATTAAAAATATTTGTTAGGTTTGATCTTGCCTACCATGTTTTATATATATTTACATTTCCATCCATGTATTTTCAACATGTTTTTTGAATAAACATACTTTCGTCTTACTATCTGTTATTTGTAGCGTATTGTTATTTTTGAGGTGGGGCGCGAGACTTGACAAATTCTGAAAAGGGGCGTGGCTTTAAAAGTTTGTGAAAACCTATAGTTTAAAAGTTGGGACAACGTTTGAAATTGACTTGACCACATTGACAATTCTGGTTGCTGATCTCAATTGTAAACCTGACTTTGCCATTGCGAGTGGTGCACCAGAAGCATGATTGGTATACATTAGGGCCAGTGGTTTCCAACCTTTCATGGCTCGTGGCCCACTTGGTTTTTAGCACCCATGGCCCCCTGTCCATCAATCCAGCGGTATTTATAGTGGTATTTTGATTGGTTGATTCCAAATCTCATTATGTTCAAACAATTCATGCACAAAAAAAGCGAAAACACCTTGTGAAATAACCTTATCAAAGAATAATCTGAGAAAAAACGGGGAGTTTTTGTGTAAGGCGAAAAGTAAAATCAGTTTGTGACTGGCATTGTGGCCCCCCGTCGACTGCTCTGTGGCCCCCTCAGGGGCCGAGGGCCCCTAGTTGAGAACTGCTGCATTAGGCCATTTGACTTGTGATGCCAAATTAATCATGCCCTCAGATAAGCCATCTGCTCTCTGTGAACCTGTGAAATAAGTAGACCAGTTGTTCTCATCTCGACCTTTTTCTTTCGGGGCCCATTTCTGTTGCACAGAAATTATGTGGCCCACTAACTTTTCCATGCGGGGAAAAACTTCAAGAAAAACATAAAATTTCTTCTACGAAAACTTTTACTTTAGTAATAATTAGATAAAATTTACCACTCTAAAACTATAAAACAGCATCATCTATTGCTACTACCATCGCATTCAACTACTAACTTTATCAACTTTAGAGTGATTATTAGGTCATAACTTTAACTTTTACAGTTGAGGGAGAAGAAGATGACAAAGTCTATACGTTATATTCATCAAGTACGTCGAGTCCTGGCGTTTTCACGAAGCGAACAAATTTGCCGTCTCTTGTGACCGACTTAGCTTTCTATGATACGGAAATGAAGGTTCATAAAACTGGGTAAGAAAGAAGTTATTGTGACCTATGAATCGTTTTGCCGAATTGTCATAACTGTCCGTAATTGTGACATCACATTTTGTTATTATGATGCCATAATTTTTGTTTATTTTTGTTCGACCTTCACTCTTTTGCTCCCGGAAATAATCTGAGCTCAAAGTCATAAATTTCTGAATGGTGACTTCATTTTCGACTACCGGCTTTTTGAAATTTAAAAATGTGAACGCTTATTCAGTATCAATTGGTCTTCAACTTATGAATCAATCAATTTTAAATATTTAATGCAAGTCGCTGGAAGGGCGTTAAAAAAAAAAAAAAAACTGGGTAAGAAAGAAGTTCACGGACCATTTATGTGTGCATTTTATTTTTTATAAATTTATTGTGAGGCTTTATAACTTATAGTCAACTTCTTCCGGATTAGAATCCCTGGAATACACAGCCGGGATCTATGGATTGTTTTGGCGATTTTTGTTCTTGCAGGACAAAATTGCTTTTCCTTTCTTTAACTTATGAACCAGCAAATTTCAAATTATTGATATTGAGAGACGCAAGCCGCTAGAAGCTTTATTTTCAAATTTTTTTTACAAGTCAAGTTTATATTTTCCAACCTCTGAAAATAACCTATGAAATTGAAAAAAATTATATTATAATAATGGAAATTGGACTATGAATACTTGAATTACTTGTAAATTTTAACATTATTCATTGTTTTTGAATTTTTCCAGTTGCTCAGTGAATAATGGAGGATGTGCCCACTTGTGCCTGCCTTCATACCAAGGAAGAGTGACTTGCAACTGTACGACTGGATATCAACCTAATGGGAATGAGTGCAATGGTAAGTAAGGACGATTAAGAATTGAATGTTATAATATTTTCGACAATTTTTTTCTTCAATTCCAAAAAATTGGATTTGAAAGAACTTTTATTATATGGAATTCGACATCTCTTAGCTGATTATAATGACTTGAACTACTTCAATTCTCACATTAACCGGCGTTTATTGGGGCATAATACAGCATCATGATTCCATTTAGTTTATATGGATCTACACCGCAATTTCACATGGTTTTGCTAGAGCAGACATTTTAGTGCTCGCCATAACTGTGTTCAGATAGAAGTCACATTTACTGGTACTTCTGATTAGGGATGTCCATTTCCAAATACTGAACTATTCTAGAATAACACTGGAAAAACATTTCGAATATCGTTCAAACTAAATTAAAAGAACCAAAACAATACTGCACCAGTGTTTGAATAACTTTATTCCTAACATAGGCGAGTGTAAGAAACATGTGACATATGAAAAAGTCTGCCAAACTGAACTAATGCGAACTGATAGGTACATCCCCACCTCTGATCTTGCTGCTAAATATATTTTTCAATTACCCAGGGATGCAGGACTTTCTTCTCTATCACACAAGCTCAACCATATACGGATACAACATCGATCACATGTCGGAACTCGCTATGATTCCTGTGATAGAACAAGTCGACGTCTTTTCCGTGGATTTCTACACAGGTTTGTTTATATCAGGGATTCCCAAACCAGGGGTCGCGACCCCAAATTGGGTCGGAGTGATAAGTAGGTAGGGGAGCAAACAGGTCATGGGGTCGCTGAGGTACGGTAGAGGATGGATGTTCAAATCATCTAAGATTTGACAAACCATGTTAAATTTAGCAGTTTGCACCATCGCTCTATGCTTTTGCTATAGAAAATGTAAGTGCTTATTGTGACATCACTGTTTGGTTCTAGAATATTTTACTTATTACCACCACATGACCAAACTCAAAAGTCCAGTGAAAGAAGCTTCAGAAGTTTCATTGAAAATATATATATTGACCTGAGGTCGCACTGGACACTTGAAAATTGTCTTTGGGGTCGTCATGAAAAAAGCTTGAGAACCCATGGTTTATATCATAGCTACCCAAACTTTTAAGCTCGCGACCTCTTTCAATATATTGAAATGTTTCACGACTCTTGTTAAGTCGGCATTGTTATGCAAGTGCGTCGCTTCTCTGATCCTATGTATTCTCTCCAAATTGTGAAATTTATGTTTTGCACTAGTTGAAAAGTCCAAAAAAGTACAATAGATATAATACTTTGTGAGATTGGTGTATTCTTTGCGACCTTGGAGTCGCAGGGTCATGACCCCCGGTTTTAAAAGCCTTGGTTTATATTATTGGGAATGAAGCAGACCAACGATTGTTGTTCTTGCCGTGAAAAAAAGTTCAAGGAGGATAATGCAAGGCATTCCTTCCATTCCTCAATATCTACTTTATTTATTACATCCTGGGCGAATGTTACTATATTTTATGTTGATCAATGTACAATTATTAATCAATTTTCAATCATGGCAGCCATAAATGCTTAGTTGCACTGTTTCCCTTCTTCTTGCAGCTGAAAATCTAATCTTTTGGGTTGACACTTCAAAGAACACAATATTCAAAGCAAATCGCGACATGTCCTCACAAGGAATCTTATACGCTGTTCGAAGACCTGCAAGTTCAAAGCGTGTTCCAGTGGGGTGAGTTAGATATATCTTATAGGGCAGGGATGGCCAACCTGTCTTGGGATGAGACCTGTTAGGATAGGATTTACATATTTATCCCGGGGGAGAGGAAAGCCGATAAGACGGCTTATCCATATGGCGAACCACGGCCTCTCGTCCGGTTACCATTCCAAGCCGGGTATGGGATTAGTTATTTGTTTGTTTTCGGAAGCATGGACTTGGTGGTGGAGGAAGCCGTAACCGACCAGCGGTTACGTGAACCACCCAACGACGGCGAGGAGTCCAGCAATCCTCTCGCACATAACCATCCCTGCATGGGATTCGAACCTGCGAACCCACGCAGAGTAGTTAGAGGTGCGGTGGCGATGTTAACTGTTAATTAAAATCATATAATTAGTAATTAGTAAATGCCCATAAATATAACCAAAGTAATTCCCAAGATACACCAACAGGAATGAGCTCTCAAGTACATGGCTACTTCGCGTTCACAGCTGGTTGGTCATGATCAGTCATCTGTAACTGATGACATCACAGGCCATGCTTAGCTATCTGTGAAAATGCTAGTTGCCAGAAATACAATAAAGATACAGTTAACAAGATTTTTTGCAATCTCTTACGATTGACTGATGGATAATAAAGTCGCACACAAAATGAATAAGTACTAAATTTTGAACACCAATGATTCAAATCCCCAAACACCAGAAACAAGGGACCATGGTTAATCAAATGATTATGCCGTCTTATAGGCTTTCTTTTTTTCATCAGAATAAATATGCAAAAACATTTCCTACCAAATGGCTATAGTTAGAGAATAGATAACAACTCATCTCGTGTTATTTACAGACTACTTTATGATAAAGACTGCATTCGAGGAGTCGCAGTTGACTGGATGGCTAAGAATGTATATTGGACGAATCCTTGCATGGGAACCATTGAAGTACGTTTCTATACGATTTTTCTATTATATTTGCTCTATAGTTGTGTTCTGAACATTACAGACTTTTAATATGAGGTTTTCACTTCATTCCATACACCAGGAATGACCAATTACTTTCTGAGTGGGCGGAGAGCTAAAAACTCAATATGAAAAATCATGAATAAAAAAGCGGCGTATTTGCAACAGCCAGTCCAACAGCTACAGGCTAACGTTTATGTAATAATGCGAATCACAATGTTGAAGTCATTATCACTTTATTTTCGGTCTTACTACCTACTGAATAGAGCGCGAAACAGCGCAGAAGAGAGGAAAACATTTTTTCTTTCATTATTTATTAGTGTCCTTGAAATTTTAAACAATTTGAGGGGAAACAGTATACAGTAGTATGGAATGATCACGGGTTTATATCAGTAATCTTCGACATCTTTAAACGAGAATATCGGTCGGAGACCGAAGACTTATCGATCGAAAGTTGGGGGATCCCCCAAAACAGCACTATTACTCCATAGTGACACCTTGTGTCCCATCACTAATTAATTGATACCTCGCTAATTATACGACATAATGATGAATGCGAGATATGATGAATGCATATGCAAAATCTGCAGCAGATCTAATCTTGCTTTCGTGAGATATCGCATGCATCTAACAGACAGACAAACAGACAAATACCTATCAACATACTTACCGATTAAAATTGATAAGTCATAACCTAACATGACGCAATATGAGCACACCAATAAGCAAAATCAAAGAAATTTTAGATCTCCAGAAGTATGTGCACCAAGATGGCGCACCACCTGAACACAGTATGTGTACCAGGCTAGGGTGCGTCATGAAGTATGTGCACCAAGGCGCACAGCCTGCACACAGTATGTGTACCAGGTTAGGGTGCGTCATGTTGGGTTATTTAAAGATGTTGAAGATTACTGATATAAACCCGTGATCTTTCTCTACCACTGTATACTGTTTCCCATCAAATTGTTTGCAAATATGCGGACGCTAATAAATAATGAAAGAAAAATGTTTCCTTCTCTTCTGCGCTCTTTCCCTCTCTTCTGCGCTGTTTCGCGCTTTATTCAGTAAGTAGTGGGACCCCTTTATTTTCAACGAAATTTTATATTCATAAAAACTATTGTCGCAATTTCAGCAAGTATGAGTGGGCCGGATGAAACACTTCAGTGGAACGAAACTGGGCCGTGGGCCCTAATTCCCCCCCTCCCTGCCATAAACCTTCATCCTGTACAAAGCTCTGCACAAGCAGAGAAAAAAACAGAATAAAACACAAAATATTTATCCTAATTTTATTTCAGATGATTCGATTGGATGGGAAATATTCCCGGATTGTTTATAAGAAACGGAGTAAACCAACACACATAGCTTTACATCCAGCGAAAGGATTGCTATTTGTTACTGGTAAGATATCTCAAGATCTTGATTTATGTCAATTCATGTTTTGAAATTCAGGCTGAAGTAAATAGGCTTGATCAATATTTTTACCACATTTTTGAATTTCATCTGGATCCTATGGAAAACCTACATTTCACCAATGATTTTGTTATTATTCCAATTCATGGGAACACTTTTATAAAACATTGGAACATTTTATTCCTTCATGCATAGCTATTGATAATTTCAGAAAACTCTGTGCGAAGCCAAGGCCCTTTCGGTGGCAATGCACATCTTTTATGTCCATGTTATATTTGAGAATTGCTCACTTGTTTCTTAGTTGTAACTTTCAACTTCCCCATATTTACAGAGTGGTCGCCCAATCATCCTGGAGTTATCCGTATGAATTTGGATGGGTCAAAGGTCAACCAAATAGTCAGAGTTCACACCAAGTTTCCTTCAGGACTGGCCATAGATTTTGAGGTAAGTAAGATTTTTAATACTTCCGTAGTATGTGAACCAAGATGGTGTCACCGAAACATAGTGTGTGTACCAGGTTAGGGTTAAGCCATAATTTTATTCCAATTTCCCTCATTTTAGTTCTATTACGAGTTCGTGGACTAGCCAAGTGAATCCCGTAGTATTTGTACCTGATATTATGGCCTAACCCTAACCTGGTACACATGCTACGTTCCGGTGTCTGCCATGTTGGTTCACATACTTTGGTAGTACCAGATTTTCTGACTAGCTTTGTGCTTGGAAGCCTTATCTAAATTAACATTCCCAGTTTTACCATCACAAGAACGTTTTCCTTTCAATTTTTTTCGGATCAGAGTACGATTTCTACAGACCTATGGTCTTCACTGCAAACTCTCAGTCTGTGGCTTTGGTTAAGCATTTTGTTGCACTATGCCAGGGGTGTAGGCAATGTTTAATACAGGGCTGGATACAAATAATTGGATGAAACCGCGGACCACACCGTTACTTAACATAGGCTTTCTGGTAGTTGCGGCAACGAAAAAGGAATAGGATTGGAACGTTGTGGATAAATAATAAATTGGTCTGAGGCATAGGCTTTGAACGCAAAGGGATTGGAAATACTTGCACAAACCAGATTAAACTAAATTAAAAACTCACCCTATTCAACATTGGCACTTGCGCGCGGGCCTCACAGTTCTCTAGTGTGGGTCACATGTAGCACACTCCATGTTGCTCTAGAATGTCTTATTGGGTTCTGCTTCACCAGAAAGGTGGAAACCCCTGATCAAGAGATACACTAACAATAAACGATTGCTAGTCACACAGCTGAAATTCTACACATCTGTCCTTTTAGCAATGGTTCATATCCTTCCCCGGGTAAACTTATTTTTAAAAAAAAATTTTACAGAATGATCGATTATACTGGTCAGACTTGACGTTGAAAGCCATATTTTATTCTGACTTCCACGGGATGGAACGAGCCGAACTTATTCAAAGCGACCTCATAAGGCCGACAAGTTTGTCAATATTCAATGGAAGAATATATTGGCTGGAACAGTAAGTTGGATTTATTTTTTCGTTAGTTTTTCACTCATAACCTCAACAAGAATCTGAAGAAGAGAATCTGAAGAGTGGGATACATTGAATTGATCACACATTAACAAATTTAGTATTCCTTATCCAAAGTCATATGTCCTAGCATTACTTATCACACCCAAGCCAAATTTATTACGCCCTTGCCAACTTTACTGCACCTTAGTCATATTTATCACACCCTAGCCAAATTTACTACATTCTAGCCAAAGATATTACTTCCTAACCATAGCTAATATACCGTAGCCAAATTTATCACAATCTAGCCAAATTTATTACACTTTAGCCATATTTATTACACTCTAGCCAAAATTATTCTACCCCAATCAAATTTCTCACACTCTAGCCAAATTTCTCACACTCTAGCCAGATTTTCTTACACTCTAGCCAAATTTATTACACTCTAGCCAAATTTATCACACTCCAGCCAAATTGATTACACTCTAGCCAAATTCATTACACTCTAGCCAAATTTATTACACTCTAGCCAAATTTATTACATCCTAGCCAAATTTATTACACTCTAGCCAAATTTATTACACTCTAGCCAAATTTATTACACTCTAGCCAAATTTATTACACTGTAGCCAAATTTTTTACATCCTAGCCAAATTTATTACACTCTAGCCAAATTTATTACACTCTAGCCAAATTTTTTACATCCTAGCCAAATTTATTACACTCTAGCCATATTTATTACACTCTAGCCATATTTATTATACTCTAGCCAAATTTTTTACATCCTAGCCATATTTATTACATCCTAGCCAAATTTATTACACTCTAGCCAGATTTATTACACTCTAGCCAGATTTATTACACTCTAGCCAAATTTATTACACTCTAGCCAAATTTATTACATCCTAGCCAAATTTCTCACACTCTAGCCATATTTATTACACTCTAGCCATATTTATCACACTCTAGCCATATTTATTACACTCTAGCCATATTTATTACATTCTAGCCATATTTATTACACTCTAGCCATATTTATTACACTCTAGCCAAATTTATTACACTCTAGCCGAATTTATTACACTCTAGCCAAATTTATTACACTCTAGCCAAATTTTTTTACATCCTAGCCAAATTTATTACACTCTAGCCATATTTATTACACTCTAGCCATATTTATTATACTCTAGCCAAATTTTTTACATCCTAGCCAAATTTATTACACTCTAGCCAAATTCATTACACCTCTTTTCATTTCATTCTCTATTAACTTAGATCTAGGCCTGACCCGAGACGCACAGCTAATTTTGCAACAGTAGAAATTTGCTGTCACTGTAATTAAGCCATTTCAAGTACTGACGAGCACACATTAGACTTCTTGGTCTCGTGCAAATCTTCTATCAGTTCAAAATCCAATTTAGTTGAGAAAACTAATATAAAAAATGTATGTTTCACCCAAGAAATATTTGAACTTGAAGAAATTTCTGTTTTTTTTTTATTCAGTTTCAAAGTGGGACTGGATGGTTCTGTTCTAAGCTGCGACAATTTGGACAAATGTGATGAAAAATCAATTGTGACTCATAAACCAGGAGCCTCCAGTGGCGGACAACCAAAAGGAATGAAGGTAAATAATGATTTTCTTTGTACAAAATTCCTTAACCCTCATTCTCCGATAGGCAATATGTTGGGACACCTGTCATACTTGGTCATAGCGTGACCGAATAATAACAATAATATGTTATTTTACGTTTATGTTGTGAAGTATTTCAGCATTATCTGAAATCATTTTATACACTCAACCAATGTTCCCTTTAATTTTTTGTAGTATGTGTCCGCAGAAATTTTGGTGTGTGCGCACATTTTTGGAAATGACTAATATTTGTGCAAAAACCAATGAAGAAATTTTGGCGTTCTAACCGGGTAATAAGTGGGCCAACAACAAACTTTCTCAATCTGCCAACCGAGCACATTGTTACATTACATCGAAATACGTCTGTGCGCAGTGAATCTATGCGTGTGCGCAGCCTCTGAAAGCTGTGTGCGCGCGCACTTGCGCACACCTTAGAGGGAACACTGCACCCAACTATGATCCATGCTTGATCCGAGTCTTCGTAATGACTATGTGTTTGCTGAAATTGCGACTATGGCTTATATGAACATAAATTTTCGTTGAGAGTATCGATGAAAATCACATCAAAATGACCTCGACTGTTACATTGTGCATCATATTATTATATATAAACCCTAGAACCTTCCATACAATCGTTACCATGTTTACGAACTCCAATCCTAGGACTCCATTGTTACGTAATTGTTATTACATTTATTTCATTATTTACGTTCCATCCTTATTGTCAGCTAGTTATTTTTGAGGTGGGGCGCAAAACTTGACAAATTCTAAAAAAGGGGGTGCAGCTGTAAAAGTTTGAGAACCACTGATATAAACGTAAGCCTAGCTTTTGTAAATGAACTGTCTTTTATTCATAATTTTCAAATTAAGCTCTGAGCTTCCGCCCCAGTAACCAAGTCTTTTATCTGTAACTGGCCCACCACGTGAAGTAGTTGCCCATCACTGTATTAGTGTCTGCTCTTCTAGAATCCTGTATTTAGTGAAATTTTGAGAGTATCTCATTATAAACATCACAATGATAGTCTCGGTTGTGTTACTGCTGAATGGAGTAAACATATACTATGAAAAAATTCGTTATATAGGGTAAACATGAATCCTTTTTTTTTTCAGATTTACAGTCCGTCAAGACAAAACGGAACGAATCCATGCACTGTTAATAATGGTACAGTTTCATATATAAATACACCTGTAATTTTGGTCATACCTTGGTTTTGTCTGGTTAGAACAGTGGTTCCCGAACCTCGACACACGGATCAATTACGACCTGCGTAACGATTTACAATGGTCTGCCAAATTAAGTGAAACAGTGTAACACTTTCTAAATTTGTCTTTTAGGGTTCTAGATACCACCAATTGTTATGTCATTATCCCATTTCAAGCATGTGTTTATTCATTACAATTCAAATATATCGATTTCTTATTTATACATGACGGTATCGGGAGCGTTCTCTTCTCTGGGCTCGCGAATATCTTTCCGCTTTCTATTTTGACCCCCCGTCTACCATTTTCGAGAGTTAGAAAATCACACAATAGCGTCCACCTTTCAAATTATCATAGTTTCGTTGCTGATACGGAGCTGACACACTGACTTGGGCCTCATTATGTTAGCATCCTTGATTAATGACCTCAAATCCTTGTCCACACTCTCGCCTAGGGTGTAATAAACTGAATAGGCAACCGGATAAAACCGTTTCTTCAAAAACATTTCACCCACCCGCGAATCATTATTCCAGATCATTTATTATCATTACAACAAGACTAGTAAATAGTGGACATTATAATCTGCACTCATTTCGGCCAAACGACTTGTTGATAGAAGGGACTGTTTCCACAACATTTGTAACTCCTTACATACCAACGGCGCGGCGGTGTGGCTCAACGGGCTAAGCGTTAGGAATACGCTCGCCACCGCACCTCTAATTACTCTGCATGGGTTCGCAGGTTCGAATCCCAGGCAGGGATGGTTATGTGCGAGAGGATTGCTGGACTCCTCGCCGTCGTTGGGTGGTTCACGTAACCGCTGGTCGGTTACGGCTTCCTCCACCACCAGTCCATGCTTCCGAAAACAAACAATATAACTAATCCCATACCCGACTTGGAATGGTAACCGGACGAGAGGCCGTGGTTCGCCATATGGATAAGCCGTCTTATCGGCTTTCCTCTCTCCCGGGATAAATATGTAAATCCTATCCTATCCAAATTGCACATAGTCTTGTTACGAGCAAAGGTGTAGGTATGCTTTATGAAACATGAATTTCTACTTTCCATATTTTACAGGTGGTTGTGAACAGCTATGTTTTTATCTTGGAGAGACAGACGGTATGAAGTGTGGATGCTCACATGGGAAGATCAACGCAACTAATTCATCTGCTTGTGATCGTAAGTTCGATTTTTATGCTGTGTTTTTTCAATGTGATTGCTATGTGTGGAATATTGTTTCATTCTCTTCATCTTTGTTGTGTGACATTTTTCCCATATATGTGATATTCGGTTCCCGTACATTTGAACCCACGACAATTGCACCTGCATACTATTGCACCTATGGAATTTTTTTTGTTTCACGGATAGTTAAACCCATACTAACCCTAACCCATGGGTTTTAGCACCCGCATATAGATTGAACCCGTGGATATACACATGGGTTCAAATGTACGTGGGTTCAAATGTACGGTCACCGTGATATTCTACTTGTCTATGTGATATTTTTTTGTGTATTATTCCAAGTGATCTTTCCTTTATATGGTATGTTTTTCTTTTTATGTGATATTTTCTTCTTACATGAGCTATTTTTCTTTCTATGTGAAGTTATCCTATACTATGTGAAAAACACTTTTCTATGTGATATTGTTTTTTACTTCACAATTCTCTACTATGTGATCTTTGTTATGTGACATATTTTGTTTTTGTATTTTCCCTTTGTTTTTATCTCATATTTTTTTCGATCCTTCCATCAGTCTACAAAACTGTTCTCATCCTTTTTATGTGACATTTTCATGTGAAGTCCTGCAACTCAGCTCAACTTTTCTTTACAGAATATTCCACATACATCATGTACTCCAGAGGAAACACTCTCGAAAGCATAAACTTAGAAGACATTGCTGATCCCAACGGCCCTGTTCCTCCGATCTGGGTAAGATTAATCTTCTTATTAGATGAGTGCTCTTCAACCTTTTTGTTATTGTGGAACCCCTGGTATAATTTTTTGTTTTTATGGAATTAACAGAATAAAAAAAATGTTAGTAACACGAAAAGCTGAACAACAACTCTACTTTGTAGTATATACTCTCTCTAGTCTCGAGCAATATCTACACAGACTTTGAACATCATGTGACTATTGTGCAATAATAGCGTTCTTGTTAGTTGCATAACAATGACTAAAGTGACGCAACAACTCAAAATATTTCTGTTTCGTCTATTAACTGCACTGTGACTAAACCTCCTGTTTAACGAACTGGCCTACTTGGCGTTTGAATGAGTCACAGTGGTCCAAGAATATTTATAATGACGCATCTATGTGCTGAAGCAAGAAATGATTTCCCCTGAATAAAAAAAAACCTGGAACCCCTAAGGAACCCTATAAACTTACGGAACCCCACTGCATTTATTGCGGAACCCTAGGGTTCCGCGGAACCCCTGTTGAAGAGCACTGTATTAGATGAATAGGAAACTCAAATTACCATATTTTAACTTAAATATTTTCCCCTTGGACATGACGTGGATGTTGTTATTCATGTGGAATGTACGGCAGTGTGTCACATTTTGCTTAGCGCGCTGCGTTTCCATCGCAGCTCTCAGTGACCCTCTGTGAGTTCGCAGGTTCAAATCCTGTGGAGATAATCATGTGTAATAGGTTTGCTGGAGCGTGGCGGTGTGGCTCATTGTGCTAAGCGTTGGGAATACGCTTGCGATTACTCTGCGTGGGTTCACAGTTTCGAATCCCATCCAGGGATGGTTATGTGTGAGATGTTTGCTGGACTCCTCGCCACTGTAGGGTGATTAACGTAACCACTGTTCAGTTAAGGCTTCCTCCACCATCAAGTCCATGCTTCTGAAAACTAATAACTAACTAATCCCATACCCGACATAAACTGGTAACCGGACGAGAGGCCGTGTTTCGTCATATGGTTAAGTCGTCTAATTGACTTTCCTCTCCTGCGGGATAAATATGTAAATCCTATCCTATCCTGGACTGCTCGCTGCCGTAGGGTGGTTCTCATAACTGCTGGTCGGTTATAGCATCCTCTATCATCAAGTCCATGCATCTTTGCATCAAACATTCAATCATTTCTGTTCTACAGTACCAAACCCATGCCATGTCAGTAATCACTGTAACTCAACTTGACAAATTCTAAAAAGGGGGCTGACTTTAAAAGTTTGAGAACCACTGTCATATATACTGATAACCGTCAGTTTTTGAATGACTTGTTAGCTCAGATTTGAGTCTGGTGCGACTCCCAGCCAGCTGCAATTAAAAATCATTTATATTTTCACAGCATCGGACATACGTCAAGTCAGTGATCGCCCTCACTCAAGATTTTTCGACCGGCCGAGTGTTTTACAGTGATATGATGGCTCGAAGCATTTATGTTGTGAAACCTAACTCACAGGATCCAAAGGAAAGAGTTCCCAAAGCAGTTATTGATAGTAAGTAGGAATTAGTGTTAGTATTAAAAATTTTGGTACTCCCGAAGTATGCGAACCAAGATGTCGGACACCGAAACGTAGTATGTGTACCAGGTTATGGTTAGGCCATAATTTTATTCCAATTTTTCCTTATTTCAGCTCTATGGACTAGCTAAGTGACTCCTGTAGTATTTGTACCTAAAATTATGGCCTAACTTGGTACACATACTACGCTTCGGTGTCCGCCATCTGGGTTCACATACTTCAGGAAAACCGAAATTTTTGTTGCCATAGCCTAGCGTTTATAGCAGTGGTTCCCAAACCGTGACCAATGGGCCAATTATGGCCCCCATAACGATTTAATACAACCTGCCGAAGTTGAGTGAAATACATTAACAATTTATGTTTTTACCTTTTTTGCATTCTATATACTGCCTATTGTTATGCCGTTATCACAGTTTAAGCAGGTGTATACTCCTAACTAATCAATTATACTGATATTTTAATAATACATATCAATACCGGTATTGGCCACTTGAGGCTCCCCTCTTTCAGCTCGCGAATATTTGCTCCCCTCGTCAATTAACTTTGGGAACAACTGGTTTAAAACCTAACTGTGTTTGGATTGCAGATAACACATCTTGGGTCAAAACCCATGCTCCCCATCTTACCTGGGGTGTCTTTTTGTGTAGCGTCGTGTTCATGGCTGAGGTTTAATGTTAAACATACCAGTGATTTGGAATTTTAAATTACTTGGTTGTGCCTATTTCCAAATCCTGATCTTTGTTGAACTTTTTTTCATAGACGTGCAGACAGTGGAAGGCATTGCATATCATCATGGGCAAGACGCCATCTACTGGACGAGCTTCACAAAGTCTGCGATTATGAGACATTCATTAGGAAACGGGAAGTTCTCCTTCGATAAGCAAACTATCGTAGCACGAAGAAACGACAATGACAACTTGAGGGCGCTAGTGATCAGCGAATGCAACGAGTGAGTATTCAATATGCATTGTTAATTACATTTCTGGCAACTATATTATTTCTAAAATGGCCGAGTAGTGATGTCATCAGTCGTTGTTGAGTGGTTATTACCAGCCAACTCTGAAAGATACAGTGTTTACCCGAAAATAAGAAGACCTGAATTTTTAAAATGATTTTAATATGAGCCGTCACCTCAAAATAAGACTTTCTTTGACTTAGTCGATAGTAGGAAATCTTTCTTACACATTTTAAATGAATAATAATCTATATTTTGCAGTTAATATAAATAAAAACACGTTATAATAGACATCCTATCAAAATAAGTCCTAATGTTAATTTTCGAATGATAATTGAAATAAGACTCTGTATTATGTTTGGGGAAACACGGTATGTGAATTCTGAGTTTTGAATCTATTCAGACAAAAATTTTAGTAGGAGCCATATTGTTTTTTCGGTGCTCTGGAAGTATGTGCACCAAGATGGCACACAACCTGAACCGTAACCTGGTACACATACTATGTTCAGGTTGTGCGCCATATTGGTGCACATACTTTGGAAGCACTGTTTTTCTCATGCAATTCTGACATATGAGTTATTGATAAAGCATGTTTCTTATCGTGTGCAATACTCAGTATTAGAATTAGGATTATGCTTGATAGGGAAAAATCTGAGTGTTGACAAGGGACACATCAAATGTCTTGGCAGGCTGTTATTATTGATGAACTTTCTAGAAAAGTATTTTACATCCTTCAATATTTTCTTTGAATACCTTGAGGCCATTTCGGCATAGTATGTGTGCGTGTTGTGTTTAGTGTCGAGGACCGGTGCTAAGATATGATGATATTCTTACTTGCCTACTCTAGAGCTTATTTTGGAGCATTAGTTGGTTATTGTTTAGAGTTGATGTTGATAGGTATTTGTCTGTCTGTTTGTCTGTGTGTTAGACGCACGCGATATCACTCGAAAGCGAGGTTCAATCTGCTCCAAATTCTGCATGCGCATTCATCTAGCTCGGATCAGAAGCCTATTGATTTTGGATGGATTATGTCGTATAATTAGCAAGTTATTAATTAATTGGTGATGAGACACACGGTGTCACTATGGAGTAAGACCACTGTATTGGGGGATCCCCTAACCTCCGATCGATAAGTCTTCGGTTTCCAACCAAATTTTAGTTGTTATAGTTTATCAAGGTAGGCAAGAGGAAAGAATGTGGCTATCGCTCAGCCTTACAGTAATAAATGCACCGGGCAAAAAAGAAATATTTATCGCATCGATGATTTAATTTAGCTTGGAGTAACGTCGAAAAGACATGATAATAGTCCTTACTTGCCTACTCCAAGGCTACTCAACTGGGGCATCACGGTGTGAATTCGGACCTTCCAAGTGTTTAGTTCGGATCGCACTTGCATATTTATTTTGGAGCAATGGCTCCATTCCCTTTTTATATGTGAAAGTTTATTTTGATGACTAACTCTTATTCATATTTTTAGTTATTAATTGGTGCTCCCGAAGTATGCGAACCAAGATGGCGGACATCGGAACGTAACATGGGTAACAGGTTAGGGTTAGGCGATAATTTTTTTCCAATTTTCCTTATTTTAGTCCTATTATCAGTTCGAAGACTAGCCAAGAGCCTACCGTAGTATTTATACTTAAAATTATGGCCTAACCCTAACCTAGTACACATATTACATTCCGATGTCCGCCATCTTGGTTCGCATACTTCGGGAGCCCCTATTAATTTATTATTACAACGGGCATTGAGAATGTCAAATTTTTGCGAATATCCAGTTTTTCCAGCTTTTCCGTTAACCCAAAAGTTCTAGGCAGTGAAATATATTTAGGCGCATTGTGAGATATATTTTCTGGAAAGACCGCACCATAATAATTTTGAAATTTTGTATCAGCATCTTTGGGGAAAATAGTTGAGAAGCCTGGTATAAACTATGAATCAAATATGGTATCTGCTCCTATGTATTCACTCGAATGCACTAGTTTCAATAATTGTGTTTTCAATCAAAAGTACAATAGAAATAGTACTTTATGCGAATTCGATGTACTCTTTGCGACACCGGAAATTCGTTGCACGCCCTCCTGCGAGGTATCCCTGCCCTAGGCCTATTCTCATCCTAGTATAAAATCTATTTTTTTGGCAATATGCTTTATTACATAGAATTCTGTTACTAAAAATGAGGAAAAATAATGTAATAATATATTTATAATTAGTGCAGTGAATAGTATACGTAAGAACATCGAATTGGTCCTTGCTAAAAAATATAAAAAAGCGAAAAACTGTTTTCTTCATTAATTTTACCTATGTAAACTTATGTTTTGCAACATGCTTTAATATTACATAGAAATACGTTACTAGAAAAAAAATAAACAAATTAGGAAATAATATTTCTGTAATTAATGCAATGAAAGGTATACATAAGAACATAGATATATAAAAAAGTCCAAAATTCATTTTTCCATCAATTTTATTCCTGTAAACTTGTTTTTGACAACATGCTTTATTACATAGAAATTTGTGACTAAAAAATGAAAAAAATAAGAAATAATATTTTTATAATTAGTGCAGTGAATAGGTATAAACGTAAGAACATAGAACGTGGCTATATAATAAAAAAGTGCAAAGAACATTTTTTTTGTAAATCTTACTCATGTAAACTTGTTTTTTGCAACATACTTTATTACATAGAATTCTGTTACTAGAAAAAAAATGAAACAAATTATGAAATAATATTTCTGTAATTAGTGCAGTGAAAGGTATACATAAGAACATAGAACTGGTCTTTGCTGAGAAATAAGAAAGTGCAAAAAACAATTTTTTTTATAAATCTTTCTTCTATAAACTTAGAGAGTGTAAATGGGACAGTGTATTCCTTCACTACAAGAATGGCCCCATACAGGCATATAAATAGCTAGTATTTTTGGGATAATAGACAGTCTACCCTGATCTTCTCTGATCCTACATAACAGGATTGCACAACACGAGGCACGAGTGCCAAATTTGGCACGCCATACGCTCAAACGTGGCACGCGAAAGGTTGTACAAAAAAAATATTTATGATATACATGAAAATATCACGTTTGTATCAAAATCAGCAGTTTTTTTTTCAGGACATTAAATTGTTTCAATAAATAGATATTCGTTATTATGTATTGTTATTGAAATTTGTTTGTTTTACTGGAGTTAATTAACAATACCACAATTGTGCGTGGCACCCGACAAGATTATTTTGAAAAATTTGGCACATATCCTCATTTGAGTTGTGCACCCCTGCTATATATTCTCTGGAAATCTTGTTTTAAAAATTGATTTTCGAATCTAACTCTAGAAAAGTAAAATAGATATATTACTTTATGTGAAATTGGTGTACTCTTTGTGACCTCTAAAATCTGGTGCATGACCCCTTGTGGAGTTGCAAAGTTTGGGAAGCCTTGACCTACTCAAGTTTTTGTGCCCTTAGAGGGGGGGGGGGGGCATGGTGTTTGAATAAAATATTTAACTCAGTGGCTGCGACTTTACTCTGAAGCAATTTTGTGCCTGTTTGAACTAGTTAAAAAATTATGCAAAATTAACTTAAAACAAATGCAAGCCTTGTGAAATAATATAAAATTTTTATAATAAGTGCAGTGAAGTCAAAGAAAGTGAGTAAAAACATTTAACGGGCCCCATTAAATAGTTACGTGGGCTGTAATCAGCCCACGGTATGGTTCGGGAAACACTGTCTTACTCGAAAAAAGTGTTTGTTGTAGTTATTATGTTAAAATCAATTGAATTATCTTGAGTTTTGATTCATTGTTGTGATCAGATAATTTAATAAATACTGAAATATCATTTTTTGATCTGAAATACTCAATCCTCGATTTCAAGTCTTAGTGGAACATTGGCATTCCTGGTCGTGTTTCTAGATCCCGTGAGCATTTCTATATCTCTCAATCTCTTCTTCTGATAGATGTTCGAGCCATTTCATCTTGTATTCTCTGTAGATTGTCGCTGAAAATAAGAATATATAATTAAGAATTGCCAACGAAAATTCTGTGCTGAAGTTTTTTTTTAAATATTTCTCACATTGTGAAATTTCTATGCCATATAGCTGTTTCTTTGACATTGATGATTTTAGATAACTGTCACTGCTCGTATGACCTTGTTCAGACCAAAAGTCACAAATAAGCCGTGTATAAAAAAAAAAAAAATGCATTTAAATGAAATTTAATATTTACGTTTTGGGATTGTTTTCTTCACAACTGTAGGTTTATAAGGCCTGGCATATTTTCTCTCTATCTCGAGATCTGCTGTACACAAGGTCAGATGGTCATCATCACTGCCCAGACTTATTGTTGATTTTGTTTTCTGTATCGTTTTGTCTGTTTGTTCGGTGAATGAAATCTGTCCGGTGAAATTTTCCTCATTTGAGGAGAAGGCGTCGTCTGTGGCCTCCAATTGTATCTGGAACGAGGAATAGGAAATTTTATCTTTGTAAAAAAAAAAGCCAATTAGATTAGTTATATGTTCATCTATTTCATCTGAAATAACATATAGAAATAACACTTGTTTGACTTCTTGTGCGGCAGAATAGGGCTCAGACAAGTATAATATTTTTTATATACCGGTATATCTATATATCATATCGTTGGATAGTGAAGCTGGTAAGATGTCTTAATATATAAATATAAGAGAATCAAGTCTTCATTTCAGATTCATTGAATTCATATTGCGCCTAGATTTAATATAAAACAAGAGTTGCTTTGTTGTCCTAGTGAGGTATAGGAATAGTTGAACGTTTTTTGTTTTACTATTATGGATGGACTTATTGCAAATAGATCTAGTACAGTGCTCTTCAATCGTTTTGTTATTGTGGAACCTCTGATATCATTTTTCGAATTTTATGGAACCTCAATTAATAAAATTAAAAAAAAACACGAAATACTCGTAACACGAAATATTCATAATTCAAATATTTCTACTTCAACAACGAAACAGAAAGAAAGTAACAGGCG